AAATGATAGTTTTACACAGATAAATTCAATACCTGTGAGATCATCTATTTGAACCAGTTCGGAACTAAGGGTGGAGTCAACGGCGATCAAAACTCCACCTCCTCGCTGGGAAAGACGGTCTACTCTATAAGTTGTGTTCTTACCTGGGAAAATTTCGGAGCTGAAAATCTCCGGCTTTAACCAGGTTTCGGTAAACACAATCACCTGGGATGCAAACGAAAGACTATCAGAATACAATTTAGAGAGCTTGCTGCGTAAGCCTCTAGTATTCTGATAGGAAAGTAGGAGGGAGGTATTTAGTTTTTTGGCACTGCCGTGACGCCCGCGGTCGCTGTGGTTTGTGCCGGCCGTGAAGGCCGTTTTTTCTTTATTCGATTAAACTTTATTTTTTTTATTTTATTCACACCAAATTATTATATGCTTTGTTTGACCAGAATAAATCGATTCTTAATGATCGAACTGCAAACTGCAAGGGTATACAATCTTCGGCGTGCCGAAGTTGGCTTCCTTTCTTGTTTTTTTTTTTTTTTTTAATTTGAGCATACTTAGACAAAGTAAACTAAACCATTTTAATTTTTCTTTTAATTTTACCCACAATGCTTTGGATATTTTGGTTTTAGATCGAAAAATTGATAGGAAAATAGTTTGAATGTTTAACATAACTTCTTTTCCCACCCATGATATATTTATAAATATTGGGCTTTGTTTATTTTGTAATTGTGTAAAAAAAATCGTTTGAACACGTCAAGCTGACTTGATTAAAGAAACCTTGCAGTTTGTAATTGGATATTTAATCCATTTTGAACAAATGAAACGAAAATCCAACAGTAGATATATTTAATGTATACATTATACATGGCAATACTTTGGCTTTTATTAAATTTCAGGAATATTTTAAAATCGTTCAATATAACTGTATCTTGGGGTTAATATATCTAATATGATATATATATATTAAAAACATATACGTGGAAAAACAACGAAGTAATGTTATTTATACCATACTACGAAAACAAATGTAAAAATATATATATGTAATTTGAGCAAATACATAAAAATGAAGAAGATAAACACATTAATAAAAAATACTTTTAAAAAATTGTTTCCATTGAAAGAAACCTATTTATTTCACTTTGATACCCTATAAAAAATGGAATGAGTGGGTGTGGCACATTTTCCAATACAAATTTTACAACAAGTGGCTGTCAATTGGCGTTAAAATTATTTTATTATCTTACTTGGTTCAAATGTTATGAAACTAAACAAAACTACCTTTTTATACCCTTGCAGGGTATTATAATTTCAGTCAGAACTTTCCAACGCAGTGAAGGAGACGACGAATATATATATATATATATATTCTTGATCAGCATCAACAGCCGAGTCGATCTAGCCATGTCCGTCTGTCCGTCTGTCTGTTTCTACGCAAACTAGTCTCTCAGTTTTAAAGCTATTTGAATGAAACTTTGCATATAGTCTTCTATATACTCTCACTGCTATATATGTCGGAACGGGCCGGATCGGACGACTATATCATATAGCTGCCATACAAATGTTCGATCAATTTTTAGAAAAAAAATTATAACTTTGCTGTTTTTTTACATTTTTTAGATATGGCCATTTTATATTATTTCTGAATTTTGGTAAAAATTTTATGAAAATCGGACGACTATATCGTATAGCTGCCATAGAAACGATCGGGAAATTAATAGAAAACAAAGTATAACTTCGTTGTTTTTCAACGTATTTTCATCTACTCTGAGATATAAGCTTATTTTATTATTCTAGAATTTTGGTATAAATTTCATGAAAATCGGACAACTATATCATATAGCGCCATAGGAGCGATCGGTAGATGTAGAGAAAATGTAAAGGTGTGAATGTAAAACTGTAACTGTCAAACTGTAAACGTAATAAGTATAGGTAAAATGTAATGAAATAATATCTGCAAGGGTATACAAACTTCGGCGTGCCGAAGTTAGCTTCCTTTCTTGTTTTAATTTGAATAAGACTTAATGAATGTAAGTGTCATTAAAACAAAAAAATCATGACCATTGCTTATTCAGTTTTCGTGTAATATTACCTGAAAGCCGATTAATTAACTTATTTTTTGTTGCATGACGCATACACCGAAAACAATTTCAACTTGGAATGCTCATATCTTCCACAAAAAAAAATCTTAAAATTTTTTTGATTACAGTTTCGGAATCCTTTGGAAATTCTCTGTTGGATTTGAATTATGAATTTTCCTATTTTTTCAACGGCTTTTGTTCGAGAGGCGCTACTGTGCGTCGGTTTAATTTTTTTTATTAGCATCTACCTGTATTTGTTTGGAACTTGGAATATTCTGCAGGACTTTATTTAATAAAAATCAAAGCCGCGACTTTAGCGCCAATGAAGCGATTGTAACGTAACCATAGCCGCTACTTGTCGCGCCTTTGATTTTTATAAAATCGAAGCCGACTGAGACCTCAAGTCCTGCCGAATATTAGTAAAGTAAACTTATTTACAAGAGTATTAGCTGCTGTGACCTACTGCTTGTCTGTGTATTAACAAGTTTTTGAGGTATTTACATGTTAAAATTATAAATAATTTGTTGTGTATAAGATTGGTTTTGTGTAGAAAGGAGAGGGTTTTGTTAGAGTTTGCTGCTGTTGGATTCGCTAGGAAATGAATTGGATTCGTGGGAAAAGCAAAAGGTTCTAATTTGGGAAAGTGCATTGCAGTTTGTTAGAATGTACTGGATGTCTATGGCCGAGGTGTCGCAAAAGGGGCAGATTCTTGTTAGGGACCTATTCATGTAATGGGCGTTTGTGGCTTGTGTGTCCTAGTTGAAGCCTATTAATTATTATTTGTTGTTGTCTGTTGAAGTTTGTGCACTCATAAAATTGGTTACCTAAAGTCGCCGTAAAAAAATCAGCTTTTCGCCCGTAGATTTAGAAATTCGCCATTAAAATGGCTTCAAAGGTAAGTCGGCCTAAATTTCAGAAAAATTTTACCTAAAATTTCACCTTAAATCAAGGCGATTTTTCTTAAATGTAGAAAAATTTTTTTGTTTTTAAATCGTTGTCCTAAATATGGGACTAATTTTCCCAAAATTGAAGGTGAATTCTTTCTTTCATTTAGAAATGTAGAAAAAATTTATTCTTCTAAGGGCGATTTGCCCTAAATATGAGGAAAACTTTTTTAAAACGAAAGGTTAATTTTTCTTTCATTTAGGGTAATTTTTTCTTGAATTCCAGATTTGCAAGGGAAATATTAAATATTATTTTTGTTGTAAAAAATAATTGTTAATAAATATTAATAATAATATTATTTTTTGTCGTTGTATTACAACAAAAACAATATTATTATTGTTTATTAACAAAGGCGGCCAAAATGCTTACACTTTTGGTGTTTCAAAAGAGAATTGAACTTACTGAGTGTTGACTGGCCACCGTCACCTCATGCCAGAGAGGTTAAAGCAGTTGGGAATTTGCCGTCCTAAATTTTAGAGAGAATCCGCCGTAGTTTTACGAAAAGTTGACCCAACTGGATCAAACATCTCTGGCATGAGGTGGCATATTTCTTAACAGTTATTTTTTATAACCAAAATAATATTTTGCTCATTTACAAATGCAGCAGCAACAAAAAAAAAATTTTTAATTTCCATCACTTAGCTTCAATTCAAGAAAAATTACCCTTAATGAAAGAAAAATTCACCTTTTGTTTTAAAGAAGTTTTCCCCATATTTGGTGCAAATCGCCCTTAAAAGAAGATTTTTTTCTTTTTACTAAATGTAAGAAAGAATTCATCTTTTAGGAAAATTTGTCCCATATTTAGGACAAATCGCCTTATAAACAAGAAATTTTTTCTACATTTAAGAAAAATCGACCTAGAAAGTTTCTTTCTTAATTTTAGGGCAAATCGTTCTCATATTTAGGGGGAAAAGTTGTTTATTTTTAGGGCGATTTTAGGTAAAAAATTGTATGAGTGTGGTGGTACTGAATCTGCTCAGTACCACCACACTCATACAATTTTTTACCTAAAATCGCCCTAAAAATAAACAACTTTTCCCCCTAAATATGAGAACGATTGACGGCTTTTAGAATGACTATCAATTCTCTAGAGAAGACGGAGTAGTACTGGGGAAGGAGTTCAGATTTGACTGTCAGTATTATTGATTAGAATCTACCCTCTTGTGTCGTTGGCTCTTGAGCCGACTCAAAGTAGCGCTTCTCGAACAATTACCGTTCCAAAAATCGAAAAAGTCATGTTCGCAAAAACAAAATTTCCCAAGGATTCAGAATCTGCAAAAAAAAAAAAAACAATTTTAAGAAGATATGAGCATTCAAAGTTGAATTTGAAAATATTAAAAAAAAATTGTTTTCATAAAAAAAAAAACAATTTATTCACTCTGATCTCTATAAAAAGCGGAATGAGTGGCACATTTTCCAATACATGTGTAAATTTTACAACAATTAGCTGTCAAATAACGTTTAAATTATTTTATTATCTTATTTGGTCCAAAAGCTAGGATTTTTGCAACGTAAAATGAGAAAGGGCTCTACTGTGATTGTGAAGGGAGTTTTTAATAGAAAAAATATCATTGGTTTTCTACACATTGAGTGCAAAAATTAAAACTTACCCACTCTAGTGCTTGATGAAGGTTCATTTGCTCCAGAGTTAATGTTTTGTTAACTGTGGTCTTACAAATTTTGTAATCAGATGATTGATTTCTCCATTTGCTGTTAAATTTAATTTTAAATATTTCTTGCAACCCAAGTGACCTTTTAAAGTTATATCTACCATATCTAGCTATATTTATTTGTATCAGCCAATATCCGTAAAAGAATTAGGCATCGATATTTTGTGGGCATATTCTTTAATAAAAAATAATATGGGCAAACATAATGTTAATTTTCTTAATATATTTTAAATCTCCTCCGTCAAAATTAAATTAATTTACATATTTTTTAACAGTTTTTATATACGTGCTTCCGTCTTTTTTATTTTTTCAGCTCAAGTGATAACGCACAAACAACGTAAAGAATTTAAAATAAAGAAACAAATAAATACACTTTTCTTATAAGTGTTAAATATTTACTTAATATCGAAAGAGGCTTTAATATCTCAACTTAACAGCGTGCGGCCATTTTCTCTATTCTTGTTATACTGCATTGGTCAAACTGGCTCTACAGTTTTAAATCATGGCTCAGAGAATTTTAAAAAATCGTGTCTTTAACACGAAGCGGAAACCGTCGAAAGCTGATCCATCCCTAATCAAATTGGGATTTACAGCGTTATTATATTTGGCGCTTATTCATCAAACCAGTGCTCAGATAGGTAAGTCTCATATAAATTCATAAAAAACACGGAAAAACAATATTTATTAAACATGCACAAGGACGTTCTAGGGCGATGTGGGATAAAAGTGACAATGCCGTAGAAACGAAACCTTTCTGTAAATGGGGCTTTACCCTGTGTGCATCTATATATGTATCTAGACTCGCATTGAAGGTGATGATTATACCATATAAACCCACACAGACGATATTTTAAATTAATCTTCAAAACCGTATTGCAATAAATTGTATAACAAAGTAGTAACTACCCATCTTCAACACATGCAAAACCGAAAAAATATAATTAAATAAAAACAAGGAAGGAAGCTAGCTTCGGCCGAAGTTTGTATACCCTTGCAGATATTATTTCATTACATTTTACCTATATTATTATGTTTACAGTTTGGCAGTTACCGTTATACATTCCCAGCTTTTCATTTTCTCTACATCTACGGATCGCTTCTATGGCAGCTATATGATATATTTGTCTGATTTTCATAATACTGTTATCAAAATTCTGAAATAATACTAAAAGCTCATGTGTCAAAGTAGATGAAAATACGTTGAAAAACAACGAAGTTATAATTTTTTCTTTACTTTCCCTATCATTCCTATGGTAGCTATAAGATATAGTCGTCCGATTTTCATAAAATTTATACCAAAATTCTGAAATAATACCAGAAGCTCATGTCTCAAAGTAGATTAAAATACGTTGAAAAACAACGAAGTTATAATTTTTTTTCGATTAATTTCCCGATCGTTCCTATGGCAACTATAAGATATAGTAGTTCGATATTCATAAAATTTTTAACAAAATTTTGGAATAATATGAAATGGCTATATCTAAAAAATGATGGAATAATATTGAAAAACAGCCAAGTTATAATTTTTTTTCTATACATTTATCGAACATTTTTATGGCAGCTATATGATATAGTCGTCCGATCCGGCCCGTTCCGACATATATAGCAGTGAGAGTATATAGAAGACTATATGCAAAGTTTCATTCAGATAGCTTTAAAACTGAGGGACTAGTTGGCGTAGAAACGGACAGACGGACAGACGGACATGGCTAGATCGACTCGGCTGTTGATGCTGATCAAGAATATATATACTTTATAGGGTCGGAAACGTCTCCTTCACTGCGTTGTAAACTTCTGACTGAAATTATAATAACCTGCAAGGGTATAACAAGAATGGAAGCTAACTTCGGCACACCTATGTTTGTATACCCGTGCAGATTACAATTGGATCATTAAGAATCCAGCCATTCTGGTTGATGCAATAATATGGAAAAACAGCCAAGTTATAATTTTTTTTCTAAAAATTTATCGAACATTTGTATGGCAGATATATGATATAGTCGTCCGATCCGGCCCGTTCCGACATATATAGCAGTGAGTGTATATAGAAGACTATATGCAAAGTTTCATTCAGATAGCTTTAAAACTGAGGGACTACTTTGCGTAGAAACGGACAGACGGACGGATAGACGGACGGACATGGCTAGATCGACTCGGCTGTTGGTGCTGATCAAGAATATATATCCTTTATTGGGTCGGAAACGTCTCCTTCACTGCGTTGCAAACTTCTGACTGAAATTATAATACCCTGCAAGGGTATAAAAATTATAACTTTGTTATTTTTCAACGTATTTGAATCTATTCTGAGATTTCAGTTTTTTTTCAGAATTTTTGTATACATTTTATGAGAAGTAGAGGAAATGTAAAGCTGGGAATATAAAACTGTAACTGTCAAAGTGTAAACATAATAAGTATAGGTACTTTTTTTGTGTTTTCCTGCATTTAAATTTATAATGTTTATTGTATTAGATATTTAAATCTAAGAAAGAAACTAAACAAAACAAATCAGAAAACCTTGCCCTAAATTTAGATACAACAAGAAAGGAAGCTATCTTCGGCACGCCGAAGTTTGTATACCCTTGCAGATATTATTTCATTAAATTTTACCTATACTTATTGTTTAGAGTTTGACAGTTACAGTTTTACATTCCCAGTTTTACATTTTCTCTACATCTACCGATCGGTTTATATGGCAGCTATATGATATAGTTGTCCGATTTTCATAAAATTTATACCAAAATTCTGAACTAATAAAATAAGCTTATATCTCAGAGTAGATAAAAATAGGTTGAAAAACAACGAAGTTATAATGTTTTTTCTATTAATTTCCCGATCGTTCCTATGGCAGCTATTAGATAAAGTCGTCCGATTTTCATGAATTTTTCACCGAAATTCTGAAATAAAATAAAATGGCCATATCTAAAAAATGGTTTTTTTTTTCTTCTTTTTTTTTCTAAAAATTGATCGAACATTTGTATGGCAGCTATATGATATAGTCGTCCGATCCGGCCCGTTCCGACATATATAGCAGTGAGAGTATATAGAAGATAGCTTAAAAACTTCATTCAGATAGCTTTAAAACTGAGAGACTAGTTTGCGTAGAAACGGACAGACGGACGGACAGACGGACAGACGGACAAACGGACGGACAGACGGACAGACGGACATGGCTAGATCGACTCGGCTGTTGATGCTGATCAAGAATATATATACTTTATAGGGTCGGAAACGTCTCCTTCACTGGGTTGTAAACTTCTGACTGAAATTATAATAACCTGCAAGGGTATAACAAGAATGGAAGCTAACTTCGGCACACCTATGTTTGTATACCCGTGCAGATTACAATTGGATCATTAAGAATCCAGCCATTCTGGTTGAATAATTAAAAAAAAAAAAATAAAAGAAAATATTTAAAAGTTGTATATTAACCCTCTAGTGCCCAAGACCGCCTCTAGACGGGCAATGTTAAAAACACCGTTATTTTATTATTTTCATTCCTTTTCATACGGTTTTCCGTTTTTTCTAATTCAGGAAAGTCCAAAAATTAAGTTCGTTGCGTTTGGAATACAATCTAGAGTTAGCGAAAGCTGCTGTATTCATTTGAAGTTGAAAATTTGTGCAACTCGGACAAAATAATTATTTTGTAGGAAATGCAACATATAAATACTTTTTTTAAAAATTGAAAAAAAATTAGAAAAAAAATTGTACTGTGTTGCTGACAGTCTCAATGACATTTATAATAAACATTTAAACAAAAAAAGTTTTTTGCCTAATTTTTTGTTGGCCTATCTTCCCAGAACCGCCTTCATGCGGTCCAAGGTTTTAGTCATATAAAACTCGATCCGAGCAAAAGTAAAATTTTTTCCAAAACAAACATTCACTTTTAATACATTCTGAATACAAAAAAATTTTTTTTTTTTTTTTTTTAAATTTGGGCACTAGAGGGTTAATACAAAGCATATAATCATTTAGTTTTTATATTTATACTAGTGCTGGAACAAACATCGATGTTTATTCGATACAATCGATGTTTCTAAAAAATCGGAGACCATCGATGGTCACTTGTCAAACATCGATTATTTTCAACTGTCACTTAAAAACCAAGCAACAAGGCAGAATTGGCAAGTTTCTATTTTAAAACGTGTTAATATAAACAATTAAGTATTTATATAAATTTCCTTCCATTTTAAATTTTAATTGGTTGTGTTGGCTACAGAATAAGGAGAATTGGTGGCATACTAAATGCAAAGTTAAAAAAAATGGCTTTTTTGTCGAGCCGGAATGCCGATCAGGCAGCAATTGCTTTGGAGTTCACGCTTTATGAGTATTTATTTGTTCAAACACTCCAGCGATGAGCCAATACCTTTGCCTGAATGATATCAAATAAAATAAGGCAGACAACAAAATTTTTTTTTTTTTTAACATTGATAAATAGTTAGTTTTAAAGCTATCTGAATGAAACTTTGGAAATAGTCTTCTGAATACTCTCTGAAATTTACAACGCAATGAAGGTGACGTTTCTGACCCTATAAAGTATATACATATATTCTTGATCAGCATCAACAGCAGAGTCGATCTAGCCATGTCCGTCTGTCCATCTGTCCATCTGTCCGTTTCTACGCAAACTAGTCCCACAGTTTTAAAGCTATCTGAATGAAACTTTCCATATAGTCTTCTATATTTTCTCTCTGCTATATATGTCGGAATATGAGATATGGGCATTTTTAAATATTTTAGAATTTCAGTTTTAATTTTATGGAAATCGGACGACTATATCTTATAGCTGTCATAGGAACGACCGGGAAATTAATAGAAAACAAGAAAGGAAGCTAACTTCGGCACGCCGAAGTTTGTATACCCTTGCAGATTGGTTTTCATATTTATATTATAAATTATAATGCCGAAAACAGACACAGAGTTTTATAACATTTTACCTATACTTATTATGTTTACAGTTTGACAGTTACAGTTATACATTCCCAGCTTTACATTTTCTCTACATCTACGGATCGCTTCCATTGCAGCTATATGATAAGTTGTCCGATTTATATAAAATTTATACCAAAATTCTATAATAATAAGTAAAGCTCATATCTCAGAGTAGATGAAAATACGTTGAAAAACAACGAAGTTATAATTTTTTCTATTACTTTGTTATTTTTCAACGTATTTGAATCTATTCTGAGATTTCAGTTTTTTTCAGAATTTTTGTATACATTTTATGAGAAGTAGAGGAAATGTAAAGCTGGGATTATAAAACTGTAACTGTAAAAGTGTAAACATAATAAGTATAGGTACTTTTTTTGTGTTTTCCTGCATTTAAATTTATAATGTTTATTGTATTAGATATTTAAATCTAAGAAAGAAACTAAACAAAACAAATCAGCAAACCTTGCCCTAAATTTAGATACAAAAATGAAAAAGTTTAGAAAAATTAACCTTAAAAAAATTGTATTTATGGTGACTTTTCTTCATTTTATGGTGCCTGCTTTAAACTCAGTTACACTTATTTCGAATTTAAAAAAAAAATTTTCTTAGCTTTCGGGCGATTTTTTTCAAGGCGATTTTTCTAAAATCTAGAACTAAAATTTTACGAGTGTAGGTGAGATAAAACTTTTGGATAAAAAAATGTGTAACGAATCATATTGTATAATGACATATATATATATATATACATTTGTTTAATAATTTAAGGGGAGCTTTTTGATTGAGATGTCCGTATTTCCAGCTTTAGAAATGAGGCTAGTTTATGCAGATGGCTATTAAAAAGACAATCCAATTTATTGAAACCCCTTGAGTTTAAGTGTTTTCCATGCATTAAAAACCAAGATGTAGTAGGAAAGGCCGCTTAGCTATTTGCAATTGCAGTCTTACCCGACGAACATTTTTCTTTCTCAGGGTAGAGCCAAGGTATTCTAAAGTATATATAAGCAATTATGGGAAAATGTTCGCTTTAAAAGAAATTCCACAAAATCATTTCCCATGGAAAAGAGCTGAGAAGGGAACTACATCTTAAACCTGAATGGTATTGTGAGTGGTGCACTAGTATATATGGCCCTTTAACCTTTCTCCAGTCGCTTTTTCATCTCAAATGAAGTACAGAAAATTCACAATGAAATTGTTAAGTTCCACCACAATATAAAAAAAAAACACATTTGATTTATTATCGTAGTTTTATTATCGTTACATAACGTAACTCAACTTATCTGCTTAAAGATCTTTGAAAGAACGGAAAGAAACTCGAAGAGGGTAAGCGCAAATACAAGGGAGAGCGCAAGTATGAGTTTTTATTCTCCTCATATGCTGTGGTTATTTTGCATTCCTGATTTAATATTCTTATACACCTCCTCAAAATAGACATTTAATATAAACTAAATCCAATATTTAAAGGCGATCATAAGGCGATCATTCTGGGGCACATTACACAATTTGGTAAATCATTGGTTGTAACCCTAAAGGGTTAATGATGTTAGATGTTAGTCGAGGAACGTGGAAATTGAGCTGGCCTAGAAAATATCGGCTCTCAATAACACCGTTAATTAGGTTATTAAGAAATACGACACTAACCATCGTTCTACGGTTAGCTAGGGAGGGTAAGTTAATTAATAGAAGTCTGCTGTCTGAAGTCCGAAGACGGTAGACTCTAGTCAGCATCCCAGGGCAGGTCACGTACATATTCAATACGGTTAACATGGACTCCAAATGGAGGAATCCAGACTCATGAACCATACTCCGATATAGGGCGTACTAATAAAATAATATATTACATACACTTTTAAAAATACATGTAGAGTTATGTAGACCCATATGCACAAGTACAATAAACTTACTTGTTTTTCATTCGGACAATGTGAGTTAGAAACAAAAACTTTTGATATCAAATAATAAATTCTCTTAACAAATTTAGATAAAAGTGACTATTTCTGATATTAAATTGTGTGGAGTAATCGGGTACCCCAAGTATTTCCTTTTCGGTACTAAGTTGCAAAGTACCTAGCCTTTACCAGGGTACCGAATTAAAAGATTAAACTAAGCTAAAAAAAATTATTTTCTATTTTTGAAGTTTTTTTTTTTGAATTGAAGTTTTAATGGCAATTTTATTTCACATTGTTAAGAAGTGAACAGATCCGGGTCACAGTATCTCTACGAGTGTGTCCGCAAAATTTATTTTGGTATTCTAATGTAATATTATATATTTATATATAATTTTTTTTTCTTAATTTCAGATCAAATTATTAGTGAACAAGAAAGCAAGTCAGTTGTCTTACAATGTCCCGTTAATGAAGACAAATGTGGTAAACTTCATTCACTAAATTGGTTTAAGGGCGATGATCGCATTGCTGCAATGCTTCTGGGAGAAAATAATGCGACAAGTGTTAATAAAGATTTTGAAGAAAGGTAGGTGTCAGTAAGTTTAATATTTGCTCAAGAATTTATATTGTTCTCGTTGCAGGGTGACTGTCGATACAAGTCCATACAGACTAGTTATTAAAGACTTGAAAATAAGTGATGAAGGTACTTATCTATGTGATACGACATTCTTCATACCAGAAGAAACATGTGATAACTTCAATGGATATCGAGTTGACTTAAGAGTCTTAGGTAAATAACGTAGATAACTTGCATGCACTGTTTTTAATATATAATATATATAATAATAAAATTAATTATTATAATCTAGTTTGCACTGTAAAATAATATTTCTAGCCCGCTGGGACTTTAACCAGTCAAACATAAAGCAGAAACCATTTTAAATTGCCAACTCATAATTAAACTCGAGCAGACAAACGCTTCCAATATACTATGGGGAGTGTGACTTGAAAAATATTTATGACAGAAATAGTCACCTGTTATTTGGATGGTTTTCTTTTTTTCTTTTTAAAAAATATTAACATCTTTCTGTTTACGCAATCGAAAATTATTAAAAAATGAAATTAATCTGCAATATAACAACAAGATAAGTAACTCCAATTGATTATTTGCCTTTGGAAAGAGAGAGAGAGAGTTATACAGAATCAGTCTATAAAGAAGTACACAAAGTTGTTTAGTGTTCCCAGATCAATGGTTTCCCACTAGACTTAGGGTTTTTCAAAGACCTAGATGAATTTTAGAAGTAACAAATTTTTATGAGGGCCGTTTAAGTGTCTTGAATTATTTTGACCTTATAAAAGAAAAAGCAAGATAACTGTAAATTAAAAAAATGACTCGTCTCTATATGAACATGTTAAATGTTGTTCCCACTAGTTTTCCCAGCCTTAAAGTTTACACAACGTCGTTACGAATTTTGTTATTAAAACAGCTTAGATATTAATAATACACTAAAATATATAAGAACAAAATTATGGTTGGAATAACAAAAAGCAGGGAAAAGTTTGTATTAAGCTGCAAAGTGGTTTCTGTATTAATGTCGTAAACCAGACTTAAAACAAATTAGAGTGTTTCCCATTGAGCTGTTTATATATGTTGACATCTTTCCCTTTAACCATGTTTTTCTCTATCTTTCTTTTAACATCAACATGCCTCAAAACTCATAAAAATAAATGCTCATGAATAATTGCTTTTTAAAAAATATATTCCACAAATAATATGAAATCGATCGTAAACACCGACACCGACGTACTTGTTATTACGATTGTTACCTAAAATACCGCTTAAAATCACCCTATAAAACTATAAATTACTTCCCACAAAACTCTAAAACGCATTTTTAATTTTTCTATGTTACATTTCACACACAAATAATCTTAAAAATGATTTTATTTCCTTATTTAATGGTGGACTTTACAAATTACTGTATCTTTATGTTATGTATAACAACTTAGAAAACCTTGGTAAATGAATTAATTGAAATCTAATTAACAATATTTGGAGATTTTGTAATCTCCAAACTTTGAGAACAATATTACCTGCAAAAAGATATTAAATTAAAGAAGTAACTAATTTGATATAACCTTTTCATAGTTTAATCGTTTTTTAATAATTTAACCCATTGAACATTATAATATTAAAAAAATGATGAAGCAAAATTATTTTTCATAATTTATTTTAAACAACAAATTTTTTACCTTCTTAAAAATTTACCGGACAACACACTCACAAACACACATAAAACGACATAAACGTTTGCTTTATATCGGAATTTAATACACATACGTAACAGTGCCACCCTCTGAGGTTTTTATTTTGGATGCAAAAGGCGATCGCATTGAGAACGGCACCACAGTGGGACCGATGCAGGAACGACAGTCATTAAAGGCAACATGCACTGTAAAAAACACACGGCCTCAGCCGGAAGTAGGATGGTTCCGCGGAACGAAGCGACTGACAACGTGTGAGTATGATATTGGCGTGACCATTACTACAAATGTTGTACCCGCTATTAGAAGGTGGAAAACTTAGAAATTGCCAATGGGTTTACATGCCGAAATCAATAAATATTTTTTGTTAGCTCTACTGGGTACTTCTGGGCATGATATGGTACAATTATAATAGTATCATGCTTCTGGGTATGATCAAATTGTTAGCAAAATAATGTTTAACAGGCATGTAAACCCTATCAGATTAAGCTATAAAGATATCTTTGGCGTTTTAAAAATGGGGACTTTGTTTTTTCTAATTGATACGAATGATGATAAATTATCTCAAAACACTCCAGGCCGTAATTTTTCATTTTCACTTTCAATGTTTAAACCCACTTGTGAGCACCGAATTAACTGGCATGTTATTTTCTTGCCTTTTTATTGTACATCCCATGAAATCAAAAGAAAAATCAGGCCTGGATATCATAGTTTATATATATTAAATATGAAAGCTACTCAAAATTGTAACCCTATTTTGAAAAAAGTTATATGTGATGATAGAACTACATAGTCCTTTAGATTTCAAGTTATGGGCATTTATCTTAAAAGTCGCTCACATGGCATATAGAGTTGCCTTTCCCCAGAGCTCGCACAAAACGGTCAACCGTTTTGATCATTCTAATTCTTTCGGAGAGAGAAACAACCAAATAGCCTGAAAAGGGTCTCTCTCGCAGATGTTCTCGCTTCTTTGCTTTGTTTGCGATTCCGGTTAACTGTAACGGGAGATCGCAAAGACAAAGCTTTCGGGAAACGAAGCGGCAAAGAAACTACTCGCTCGCTTCTGAGTCGAAAAGAGTGCCTGAGAGAGAGGGAGGGATGAAGCACTCGTATTTTTACGAAAAATTAAAAATACATTCTACAAACAATTTAAACACAAATTAATGAAGAAATAAACTCAAGTTTGTGTTAAAGGTTTTTTTTCTTTTTGTTTCATTTGTTATTTATTTTAATCATTTAATTTAATTTAATCATTTACATTTTTAAATGTTTGTTGTCAAAAATGAAGAAATTGTGCAAACAATCAACTGACGCTACGCGAAATGTACAAATTAACAGCGGGAACTTTCCGCGAAGAAACCGGTCACACTTCAGACAACGAGCCCGCTCTCTCCGCTTCAACCGAGAGAGAATAGAAAAAGGGCCCATGGCAGATGTCTCGTTGAGTCTTTTCGCCGCTAACCGGTTACGTAACCTTAATGTTGAGAGCTTTTTGGAAATCGGGACTCAACCCTGCGAGCTCTGCCTTTCCCAACAATTTGATTCCAAAATTCGCATAGGGAAGAAAACTTACGATGGATAAAGTTTCTCTTAATACCACCATTTTATTTGTAATGTAATATTATCTCAAATAAACTGGTTTTAATTGTTTTTTATAACTCCAACAGATTCACCGACCCATAATTTAAATGACGGACTTTATACCTCCACACTCGAGTTGGATTGGACACTTTCGCGAGACGATCTTGCTCAAGATATTGAATGCCGCGTAAATTCTGCAGCCATATTAAATTCGATTGTTTCAACTTTTGGCGTGGATTTGCAAGGTATAATAATACATACTAATTAAGTCTAATAGAGATTCAAATTAAGTCAATGTATCTAAAATTATAATGGATTCAGAAAATATATGAATTATATTATGAATCCTGTGCGTTATTCTAGTACGTTTATTGAGAAGGTCATTTTGAGATACATCAAAATTATATTAAATAAAGTAAATTAAATGATGAAATGAGAATATTATTAATAGTTGCATTTTCTTAATAATCCACAGTACGTCCAACGAGTATTGAGATCAATGGCGTTGAACATCATACCGTGCAGGGCAGCAAAGTTGTTTTGACATGTGATGTAAGTATTAGTTCACAGAGTACCAAATCTACCAATCCTTATCCCTTAAAACGGGTACAGCGAGTACCGATCCCAAATTCAACTATTTTTATCATTATAAGAAGATTGCGCTCCAAGTCCATGGAGTTACGTTTGAGCAGCTGGGCTCTATTTTTATACCCTTACAGGGTATTCTAATTTTTGTCAGTAGTTTGGAAAGCAGAAATGGTTCCAATTCTATAAAGTAATATAAACTAAATAAATTAAATACAAAGACATGTCCGTCCGTCCATCTGTCCTTCAATCATTTATTTACAGACGGACAGACGGGCGGACAGATGGCTAGCCGAAAGCTTTTCCCTTCGACATAAGCGAATTTACCTATAATTTGTTTTTAAATTTCCCTTAAATTCCCAAATATTTTAAGCTATCCGCTCTCAACAAATGGGTTTGCTTAGTCCAAGTCTTGCTAATTAGCGGCTGACCAAATTTTGGTCCGCTGTAGTCTCCAACCTTTCAATATAATTTAATGCATAAAATCGAAGGAAGAAGCATTCGTAAAAAAATATTTACAATTGCATTCAGCTGTTCTGGTGGGAGTGTTGTAAAATCTTTACAAATGCAAATAGTTGCCAAGGTCGGGGGAAAAGAACCCTAAAACGATTTGTGCAGTTGGTCTAAAAACGAATTAGCTGGTATTTAAGACAACAAACATAATCGAGCCACTGAAGTGGCAGAAGCGAGTTCGCTGAACATTTTATTTTGCGTTCGGGGCCTAGATCGTGCGATTTTAAAGCTTATATCTATACAGACAGTTGACGCATTAAAAGACAACATTAAAGCATTTATTTGTGAGATACCGGCCGAAATGTTAGAAAAAGTATGCCAAAATTGGATTAAATTGATGGACCATTTGAGGCGAATTTGGATGAAATAATCTTTAAACATTAATAATTTTTGAACTATTTTCCTATAGCTCTTAAAAAATCACCCTTTACTTGTAAAACAAACTTAAAAACAAATATTTAAAATTAATCATGTGACAGAATATGACGTTATTTTTTGGTACGGTGATTCCTCTCAGTTTCGTTTTTTCCTTTCGGAAACTACAACAGGGGCGGTGGATTAGCAATAATGCTGAATTATAATTGAACCAATTCTGATGTGCACCCACAAAATTATTATTTATAAATCAAGATGTTTACCTTTTGCGAAATCAGTTTTGCACTAGTGTACCTAAAGCATCAGAAAAATAAATAAAATTAACATTTGCAATTACATATTCGCATTGTAAATATGTTTAACTCATTTCATTTCTGGACTTGCGGACTTTAAGCAGGAAGGTAATAGAGAGGTAAAAGTTAGAACAGGTCAGGGAAATCCGAATCCGTGTAGATTGTGCTGAAGTGAAAACTAAAACAGACCTGATAAGGGTCTTTCTTTGATTAGATCTACGGTTGGATAAGGAAGATACGTTAATTAGGAGGAGTCGACTTGACTAGGAAGTAAACCTTTGGTTTTCGTCACAGTTTAAGCCGCGAAATTCTAATGTGAATGTCATATTAAGAACTCCAAACGAAAAATGTTAATGTAAAAAAGAAAAATCTCACTAGGTTACAATTTTACAGTAAATTTGTTGTTTTACATAAATGTGTATTTCGAATGCACAAATTTCTATTTGCTGATCCTTAAATTTCTACTATGCTTTACCACTTTCTTTTAAGATTCACGGGGCTCGCCCAGCTGTTAACCTTACTTGGTATAACTCAACATCAATCATAAGTGCTGATGAAAACGACCTAACAGAGATTAGAATAAAAGCGGTGAGTACCTTAAACTTTGGCTTCTTATCGATTTAATATGACGTTTAAATTGTTTGTTCAATAGTTTGAAAAGATTGATGGAACCTATCACACCCAATCCGAATTAATTTTTAATGCTACGCGCTTTGAAAATGATCGTGTTTTTCGCTGCGAAGCAGAAAATATTGTATTGCAAATCAATAGAGAGAAACCAATCTCATCCGCCCTGACTTTAGAAGTCTTATGTAAGTATATATTTTAGATAGATAAAATGTATTAGGAATCTTTTAACAATATATGCTAAAGATAAATAGTATCTATTAAATACATATGCATATACGTAGGTTGCAAATACATTTTCTTTATTTATTTATTTATTTTTTTTTTTTTGTAATTTTTAAATATAGTCTATTGTTTCTAATTGAAAGAAAAACAATTTGTTGTGCTTTTGTTGTGACAAAATTATGGCATTTGAATATTTTATCTTTCGCCAACTCAAGTAGCAAAGTCAAGTTATGCAATAATGTTACTAAAAAACAAGAAAGGAAGCTAACTTCGGCACGCCGAAGTTTGTATACCCTTGCAGATTGGTTTCGATGTTTATATTATAGATTTAAATGCTGAAAAGACTCACAAAACAGAGTTTCATTACATTTTACCTATACTTATTATGTTTACAGTTTGACAGTTACAGTTTTACATTCCCAGCTTTACATATTTTATACATTTACCGATCGCTTCTATGGCAGCTATAAGATATAGTTGTCCGATTTTTAAGAAATTTATACCAAAATTCTAGAATAATAAAAAAAGCTTATATCTTAGAGTAGATAAACATACGTTGAAAAACAACGAGGCTATAATTTTTTCCTATTAATTTCCCGATCGTTCCTATGGCAGCTATATCATATAGTCGTCCGATTTTCATAACATTTTTACCAAAATTCAGAAATAATATATAATAATAAAATGGTGCAAAAATATTGAAAAACAGAAAAGTTATAATTTTTTTCGAAAAATATATCGAACATTTGTATGGCAGCTATATGATATAGTCGTCCGATCCGGCCCGTTCCGACATATATAGCAGTGAGAGCATATTGAAAGAAGACTATATGCAAAGTTTCATTCAGATAGCTTTAAAACTGAGGGACTAGTTTGCGTAGAAACAGACAGACAGACAGACGGACAGACAGACATGGCTAGATCGACTCGGCTGTTGATGCTGATCAAGGGTCGGAAACGTCTCTTTCACTGCGTTGCAAACTTCTGACTGAAATTATAATACCCTGCAAGGGTATAAAAATAGATAAACTAGTGTTATTTTGATGCTACGTAACACATACACATAGTTGCGTTTTCCATTACATTATTAACTACTCTATCATTAATTTTATTTATCACAGATCCCCCTGTTGTGAAGGTTAGTCCACCCGATATGGTTACAAATACAAGTGAAATAGTTCTATTAAATTGTGAATATGTTGCCAATCCTGCATCTCTAATCCAAGTTGATTGGTAAGTAATATATAAAGATATAATTATATATATATTGATTGCGTTCAGCAGGACAACATGTTCATTATAGGGTCGCATATGTGTCCTTTATTGCGTTGCAGTCATTTGACTGAAATCATAGATTTCATGTAGATTTTAACATTTTTAGCCTAAAATACTTTTTGAAATGATATGTAGTTGTGCTAGAGTTTATTATTGTCTATGAATTAGATTGGCTTTTTTAAGGAAGGAAAGAACTGAAGTTATGTTGGTGGGTGTTGGGTTGCTTAGGAGTGGAAGGAATTATTGGTCTGATTCGTCGTCTTCGCCGTCATCTTCATCTGGCTCATCGGTTGGAAGTTCGCACCAGCGCTTCATCTTATCAGATGAATACACTGACTTGTAGTGTCTCTGCTTTCGTTGTGCATGTGGGATATCTTCAACAAGATATCGGTCGTTGGGCAGCACCTTGGATATGATGAAAGGACCTTTGTAGCGCGGCTCTAATTTGCGGGATGTGCCCGTGCTAAACGGCTCGTTCTCCACCAAGACAATGTCTCCGGTGCTATAGACAGTTGGCTTGGAATGGCTGGCATCATATCGTCTCTTGGCAGCGGCTCTGTAGTCGTTAACTGTGGTCGCAGCGTCAGCTCGGAGCTTCTCCAGCTCGGCGTCTGTCATCATGCTCGTGTCTTGATTTTGGATCACGCTCGTCAGCGTGTTCTTGAGGACATCTCGGGGCTCGTAACCATATAGTAGCTGAAATGGGGAACATTTAGTAGTGCTGTTTACCATGGTGTTGATGCTCCACTGGATTGATCGCATCTTCTCGTCCCAGCGTTTTTCGTTCTCGTTTGAAGGCAATAGCATTGACAAAATAATTCGGTTTGTCCGTTCTGCATGACCATTGGCTCTTGGTGTTCTAACAGCGTTAAGGATGTGCTTCACATTGTTTGATTTGCAGTATTTCTCAAAATCTTTTGAGGTAAAAGCGGTACCTCGATCGGTGACGATTCTCTCTGGCATTCCCACGTAGCTGGTGACTTCTTGCAGGGCATCTATGACGTGTTTAGTTGCTGTACTTTTTACTGCTCGAACTATGGTGAACTTGGTGAAAGCGTCGACAAGTACGAGGATATGTTCATTTCGCTTCGAACTCTTCGGAAAAGTTCCCAGATGATCCATGTGTACGGTCGAAAAGGGAATCGGCTTGATGTCATCGTAGTGGTACTGACCTTCGTGTCGTCCACCTGGTATTTTATACAGCGCGCAGCCTACACAGGACTTTATGTAGCTTTTAACGAAGTTACGCATTCGGGGAAACCAAAACAAATTCATGATTCTGAGGATGGTTTTATCTGTGCTCATGTGTCCGGCTTTATCGTGGCACTCATGTAGAATATGGAATCTCAGCTGCTTCGGCACAACCCATAGCAATTTGTTGTCATATTTGCGAAACAGGCGAGCCTGCTCGATCACATACTCGTCGTTTTCCGATTTATTTTCGGTTTTCATATCAGCAACAATTTTCTGTATCTTTTCGTCTTGAAGTTGTATAGCAAACAACCTGTCAGCTTCGTCAATAATTGTTTTTGAGATCTTCAGGGATGCTGTATCCATCTCATGTGCGTCTTCAAATGGTGCTCTACTCAGCGCGTCAACGTGACCCATCTGTGTTCCTGCTCGATGAACGATGTCGATGTCAAACTCTTGGATTCGTAACCACCATCTTGCAATTCGAGGTATCAGCTCGCGTTTTTCCATAGACGTCTTCAAAGCGTTGCAATCGGTGACAACCTTTATCATTTTGCCATAAATATAGTATTTGAATCGCTCCAAGGATTCGACAACGGCTAAGGCTTCTATTTCGTAGCTGTGATAGTTTTTCTCTGGTTTGGAAATGGCTCTGCTATAGTATGCGATTGGCTTCAATTGATCCTCGTCTTTCTGCATCAAAACTCCTGCTAATCCAACGGCGCTGGCATCTGTATGAACTTCGTGTTCAGCATCTAAGCGGTAGCTAGTTACAACAGGTTTCGACGTGAGGCATCTCTTTAGTTCTTGAAAAGCATCTTCTTGTGACTTTTCCCATTTGAATTGTGTGCTCTGTGCAGTGGCTCTGATATTATCGCATATCCGGCAACAAATTTCCGGAAATAACCAGTAAGACCCAAAAACTGTCGCACTTCGGTTACATTATTTGGCTTTTCAAACTCTGCAATGGCGTTTGTCTTGACTTCTCCAGGGCTGATTCCATCAGTGTGTATTTGATGACCTAAAAATGTGATTGACTGCTTATATAACTCACATTTGTCGACGTTCAAAGTTAATCCGCATTCTCGCAATACTCTTAGAACTCTCTCTAGCTTCTCGTACATCTCGTCAAATGTTTGGCTGCCAATTAGGATGTCATCCATGTAGTGCATCATGTCGCCTTTCTGCACACGCCACTGCAACTCTGCCATGAGTCTATTGAATACAGCAGGTGCATTCTTTAGCCCAAACGGAAGACGTTTGAACTCGTACATTCCATCCGTGGTGATAAACGCAGTGAATTTTCTGCTCTCAGGTTCCATTTCGATCTGATAATAGCCGCTATTCAAATCTAACGACGAAAAGTATCTGAAGCGCTTCGCTTCCTGCAGCCTCTCCTCAATGTTTGGAACTGGAAAGTTCTCCTTTCTGATTAGCTTGTTCAGACGACGGTAATCGATGCAAAGTCGATCACTTCCGTTCGGTTTCTTGATGAGCACCACCGGGCTAGCGTACTCTGATGTGGATGGAGTGATAATGTCTAGTTTCAAAAGTTCGTCGACCACTTTGCCGACAACATTCTTCTTCGGCTCGGAAACTCGATATGGCGCTTGGGAAACCACTTGATTACCCTCAACAACGATCTTTGCCTGGACGATGTTTGTCTTGCCAATGCCTTGCAATCCTGTGGAGAAAACGTCAGCTTGCTCTCTTTCTGAATCGATCTGGAAATTAACAAGAAGCTTGTGAAAAATACTCTCGGTTGAAAGTGTTAACGGCTGATGAACTGCTCTCTTGACTTCTGATTCGCCTGGCTCGAACTTAAACAATAATTCAGCGCAGGTGATCACATCTTGTCCCAATAATAAGTCTTCCTGTAGTAGATTGTCTTCTGCGATGTAAACTTTGGCTGTTACGACTTTTCCAGCGATGTCGATGTCCACAACAACGGCTACAGTAAGGATTCGTGAGCCTCCACAAATGCCCACAATTTTCATAGCACAAGTCTGGCGATCTGCGTCGATCTCGTCAGCAACTGATTGGCGAATGATACTCGCTTGGCTTCCAGTGTCAATGAATGCGTTATACCCTTGCTCGTTGATATATACTTTTCTTGTGAACAGCTTGTTATGATTTGATGCACCCAAACGCATCACCTGTGCGACGCTGCAGCTTTCATTGGTGGCATGAAATGTGTTACATTTGGAACAGCGCGTCTTCTTTCTCTCCTTTGGGCACGAATTAGCAAAATGCCCAAGATCTCCGCAATTATAGCATGCTTTAGCTTCCTTTGGCTTCGGTTGCTTCATCTCGTTCTCCAGCTTTAACTCAAAGTTATTGGATTTGGATACGTACTCTTTCTTATTTGCAATCGGTCGACCTCTGTTTAGAAAATATGACTCAGCCGCATCTCGAAACTCCTTCATCGACGAAAAATGAATGGCTGCAATACTGTTTTGCAACTCTCTGTGCTGTAGACCTGCTCGAACATATCGAATCACTGCTGCTTCACTAAGCTTGAACCGTACTCCAAGTGCTGACATCCGGAAACAATACTCCTTTACGGTTTCCTTCGATTTTCTGGTTGCATTTGCCATGTTGAAATGGATTTCTGCCTCGTCTGGTTCTGCTCTTCTCGGATAGCTGCTGCAAAACTATTCCATGTTGTGTGTAGAACCTGTGAAGAATCGAGCCACATTTTGGCGGGACCCTTCAGCTTGGTGTAGATAGCTAATAGCACAAATTTCTCGTCCCATTGATACGCACCAACCACCTTGTTGACACGATCGATGAACTGGTTTACTGAGATCGAATTCTCATCTCCGGGGTCATATTCTGGTAAGGTATTTGCAATCTCCTTCACCGACGCTTGTCTAAAATTGTTCGCTGCCTGCTCTCCAGGGTTAGAATCGCTCCTCTCATCTACGTTGACTTCTTGCACGCGTTGCCGCTGCTGCTGTTGCTGATTAGCTGTTGGCATATTGTTGACCAACTGCGTCATCATGGTTGTCAGTGTCTTCATCTGTTCTTGTATTTGTGAAATCGCAGCTCCCTGTGCTTCGAGTGTTTCTTCATGCTGGTTCATGTTTCCAGCTGCTTGTGGCATATCCACGTCTTCGGAATCTTCGTGTTCCACTAGTCTCTGCACTAGTTCTGCTCTGGAGCCCGCAACTCCTAAGTTCCTCTCTCTCAACAGGTACCGCAACTGGTCTGCCTTGAGCTCTGCTATCTTGACCATTTTTTCCAAAAAATGATCGCAACTTTAGTCAAAGTTTGTCTGTTTTCCTTGCACGCACAACCACAATCGTTTGCACGCACAATCTTGCACCCACGAGCAACTCTTTTTGCCCGTCTGCAAGCGAGATCGGTATTTCACCACTCGTGAAATTCACCTCCTTTGAATTTCACAACGACGCTAAACACACATACAAGCCCTTTGTATGATTTCACAACGACGCTCCGCATACACACACACAAGCTTTTTGCATGTCTCTCTTCAGGTTCACCAAGACTCCTGAGTACTCCGTTTTGAATCCATCAGCAACGTAGGAAAGGATCGCTATCCGTTATTTGTAACTTCTTGTCCTCTAGACCTTTGGGAACACCTATCCCATTACAAACTTCCCACGCCGACGACTCTGCTGCTGCTGCTTTTCCGTGTCTCACTCACTGTTACTGCCTCTTAACCATAGCCAACTCGAATTATCCCACTTCTGAACTGTGAAGGGATGGCTTTTCCGAGTGGTGGAGTAATGTTTATTGGATATGTTAAGGGGTTTTACAGGATGAAACTTAAGAACTAATATTCTGCGTTAATAATTCTGGACCGCGTCCGCTTCGTTCTTTTGTTGCTCTTCCTCTCTCGTACTGTCGCTATCGGTATCGTATAGTATCGTCTCATATCGTATATTACTATCGTTAAGGTTGTTCCTGGACAACAACCAGCCCGTTACACGATAAAAAAATACGGGATATTGTTGCCAAATTTAAACTCAATCCCTAAAATTCCTGATTCAATCTGAAGTTAGCTTAAAATAAAAAGAATTATTAATGTTGGAAGTTAAGGAAGTAGTTGGGTTGTGCGTCTTAATTAGGACTTCAAAGATTGGTTTATGTCTGGTCGGTATGTGCTTGGCGATGTGAGCAGTGGGAAATTTGTGAGTGCTTTAGCGCATCATCTGCGATTTCGTTACCTGGGGTACCTACATGGCTTGGAACCAATAGGATTTTTATTTTTGGAAAGTGTTTTTTTATCATCCCACGAATTTTTAAGGTCAAGTGCTCCGAATTTTCAATGTTTTTTAAGACTTCGATAGCCGACAGTGAGTTTATGCAGATGCATATTTTCCCGTTTGCTTTGGCTGCGTACACCGAAGAATATTCTGGGAGAACTCCCAATCTTATTACTGAGCACTCAGTGGTCATGCAAATCCTAGCTGTTAAGGCTGTGTTTTATTTGTTTTGTTTGTCGATAGTTGTCGATTTTTGGTATTTGGTCAGATAAATAAATAAATAAATAAATAAATAAATAAATAAATAAGTAAATAAATAAATAAAAACAATTATTATATATATAAATAAATAAATAATTTAATAACTAATCTTTTTTGGCTATACAAAGAGTTTTTTCAGAATTTGGACTATAGTGAATGGGTGACAGTTGTACTTAAGCTTGACAGAATGAATGCCGTTTAATGACTTGAACAATGCATTTGTTAATTTTGTGATGTGAGAGTTTTATTTCTATCTTGAGGTTATGGTTAATCCCAATACTTTGATTAGTTTTGTTGTTTAGATCGCGCATGAGCTTATATGTACCTACTTTGCATTGGCAGTTCCTTTTCCTAGATATATGTATGTATGCTGATGATTACATTTGCTTAGGGATAAGGAAGCTCCAGATCGTGCGCACTAATTGCTGATCTCTATAAACAGAGAGTCTAGATTGTGCCTTACTTGTTTACTTATTTTTAGGTCTATAAGTATGTTGAAGTCATCTGCATAGGCTGTGAACTTCACCTTTTTTCTTTTTCCATTACGTCCGCTACGTTGTTAAATGTTATTAGGAACAGAATTACTGATAGCAGTAATTCTTGTGGGATACCGTTTTATAAACTTTGTAGAATGGAATCCAAAGATATAATTGATAAATGTGTCTCTTCAGAGAGTGCTCTGCTGACCAGAGCATCAACGTATAGTAAACAGTCCGTAGGATACTTATCTTTTCTTAGTCCAATTGGCGACTATTTAGTAGTTTTTTTTTGTATGAAGAAAGTAATGGTTTATCTTATCTGTATTCTTTTACATTTAGGTATCGCAATGATGAACTTCTCAATGTTAACGACACGGATCATTATCAAGGTGGCAATTCAGAAAACGTAGCTCTAGTCATTAAATCTACAGATAAAGACGACATTGGAAATTATTCTTGTCAATTATCGAATACTATTGGAAAAGGAATTTCTGAAGAGAAAATTAATCTTGACGTGCAGTGTGAGTCAATTCAACACCTATTAAGCCATTTCAAGCGAATCTAACTTTGGGTTACCCCGCACTTAATTTAGTTGTTCCGAGTGTAGAAGTGCAAATGATACCAGCTGGCCCTGTTAAAGAAAGCGATGAATCAAATGTCACACTTTACTGCAATATTTTGGATGCTAATCCGTCAGTCCTTACCAAAGTGAGGTGGTACGCTAACTCAACGTTACTTAAGGAGCTTCCAGACTGTGAAGAAACCAGGGTAAGATATTCGAATGAATCTATCTATTTACATTTACATTTTAATTTCTTTACTCTATTTTTTAGGAGGATCTTTGTCATATAGATCCAAGTAAACTATTATTGGAAAGTATTGGACGTGGTTTTTTCTATAACTATTCTTGTGAAGGATTTAATGCAGCTGGTTGGGGTCCCCGCAGTGAAGACAAAGAGCTTATTGTAAGTTATAATTTGAATGAAGCCAATTAATTATCATTTGCTTTCCTAACCCTTACAATATATTATTTTTAGGTACACTATGAGCCTGGGCCCGCTACCCTAACTCATTTTCCTTTAATCGCTGTTAAAAAGAAAAGTGTGATATTTTCATGTTCAGTCGATGATCCCGGATATCCAGACTCGAACAGGTTTGTAGCGCAACAAGCCAAACACATTCAAAAAATCACCAAAACACAATATCCACCACTAATTGATTTTCATACCGTCCAAGCATTGCAACCACAGGAAGCCGACATTGCTTTGGAAGCATTCATGCTGCAAAAGCAACAAGAAAGGCTCCGCTCTAATGCTCCTTCACATTCATATTCAAAAAATGAAACAGCTAGCGCTTCCCACCAAGTTCACCAACTCAAAGAAACACATGCTCTAATTGATTTTAGTTTAAATCAATCCCTTTGTACACTACTCACGCTCACAACCTACACGTCACAATTGCAAATTTTAACCCTTTACTCTGACGAACATAAAAACTCAATTTCAAATGCCTCTGCCCTGTCATATTCATTATACCGCAAAATGGGAAAATTTTCCTTTGTTGCTCAACTGGTTTCAAAACCGAACAGATATCGTTGGCTTCGTGGAGGTCGGGGTCCTCTGCAGGACGTAGTAACCAAGGACTGGACAGTGGAGCCAGTTGGTCTAGACAGTCGGACCAATTATTCATGCTACGCATACAACGAGGGGGGCAAGGGCTTAATGGCCACGGTCAATTTGGAGGTACACGCACCGCCATTTTTCATAAAGAACCTCGCACCATACACTGGCATTCTGCACACCTCGTCTAATGCCACTTTAACGTGTCGCATTGAGTGCGTTCCACGTTGTGACATACACTGGCAAAAAGATGGTGTGCTAATTGAGAGGAATAATAGCCGGTACTTCGTTAAAGAAAAGTATATGGAGGCATCTCCCGCTACAGGCGATTTTGAAAGCATTTTATCAGTTTTGGTAAGTATGGCAAGGGCAATTTTCGGAATTATTATTATTACATTAAGATGCGTTATTTTTTAAGCCATCGAACAGCTCCCATAACAGTCCAAAATCTAGCAAACTTCTCCATAACTAACTAAACTAATCTAACTGACATCTCCGCGTCGTTTCCTTTCATAAATAGAGTTAGCAATGTAAGTAGGAGGCTGAAGGACATTAGTAAAAGAAGGAGGATCCGATCCATCATTATTCCGTCTCGTCTGTCTGCCGCAAGAACTAACCAAGCGCATAGAGGTAGAGTTTAGCTCTAAGAGCTACCAATATCGTTGACAACCTCCATCATTGTCGTTTACACATGTATATAGGGTGTAAAGGTATTATTTATATAAAATCACCGAACTCTTGCTGAATTTTTTATATTCTGATAATTATGACAAGCATACTATATAGTCCTCCGATTTTAATTTAATGAGTCCACATTTTAAAGTCATTACTGCCCTATATACATACATACATATGTGTATCAAAAAATGTCTAAATTTGTTTTTAATTTTTTACTGCTAATTCTTCAATCGTTCCTTATGACAGCTTTATGATTGAGTCGTCCAATCTAACTTAATCCGACTTATATACTAATTGTAATGAAACCTAGTCTATTTAAAAAGTTGTATCCACATAGCTTGAAAAATGAAAGTTATGCTGATTAGGAATATATGAATATCCTTTAAGAAATTTCTCCTTCACAGCGTTGCAAATTTTTGACCAAAACAAAGCTACCAGCCAAATATTTAAAAATACATAAACATATACATATGTATAGACAAGTTTTCTAGAAACGGGCAGACACACTGACAGTTAAGAATACATAAATTTACTTAATACCATGATAGAATTATACAAGGTAGTCCCGGAAAAATAAGCGATAGTTCGGCTATCAAAGTGTGTGTGAGACGGGTATAGCCTGAAAGTTTGAATGAAATATCCAATGAATAAGCACGAGCTGTCAAAATAAGCCCTAAAACCCGAACAATTTGGCCCCGACGGGACTACCTTGTATAATTCTATCATGCTTAATATGCTAATAGTGCGCAAATAACTCCAAAATTGTATTGACAACTTCGGACCAAAATGGTATTTAACTGCTTGGGATAAAACAATAACATTTGTAAATGTTTCATTCAGTTTTAATTGTACATTTAAAAACATACATTTCGTTTAACGTTAAACAACTCTAGCACTTCAATATGCCAAATTGGCCACGTAACAAATTTGATATCGACGCCGACAATGCGAACTACTCATGTACCTCAACCCCAAACACAGTGGGAGCCGGTATCAAGAGTGCGACCTATTTCAGTATTGAATGTGAGTAAATGTAAACTCTTTTGCCTTATTGTAGCTTTTTATACCTACCTACAAAATTCAACAGATTCACCAGATAATACGACCGTCTCAGAAAACATTACCTTTGTGCAGGAAGACACCGTCCCAGGACGACTCATATGCAAATCACGGGCTAATCCAGGTGCGTCTTTTATACCGTATTTCTATTGTTTTTCCGTACATACGTATCTTGCCCACAGAGCCATCGTATAAGTGGTTTTTTAAAAACGAAACAATAGGCAATGGAAATGCATTAATTATCAACACAGCCATGAAGCGAAGTGATAATGGCACTTACACTTGTTTAGCTTATAACAAGCATGGGAGTAGCAGAGCAGAAACCGTGATAATAGTGCAATGTAAGTGAAACATTAAAGTAAAACAATGAGATATTTATATATACACATTTATTTTAAAGTTACGCCGAACTGCGAAATCGAGAGACGAGAAATTGATGGGCAGGACACTTTGATTTGCACTGCCTTTGGAAACCCGGAGGAGGTAAATGGATTTTTATTTTTTCATCAAACATTTTGCATGGTATTTACGAAATGAAGGAGATGAAAAACATTGGAATACCGTATTTTTGGAAGGACTTTTAAGAAAATCATAACTTTTTACATACCTTTTTATACCGTCGCAAGTTCCACTTGATATGTACTGTACAAAGTGCATCAACGTCTTGCAAATACCCTTTCAGGATATTATAATTAAAGTCAGAAGTTTGCAACGCAGTGAACGAGACATTTTCGACCCTATAAAGTATATATATTCCTGATCAGCGTCAACAGCCGATTCGCTCAAGCCATCAGTCAGTCCGTCAGTGCTAAGCCCTCAATTTTTAAGCTATCTGAATGAATCTTTGCAGATAGTCTTCTGACTAAAAAAAATAACTTTGAAGTTTTTCAACATATTTTCATCATCTTTGATATATGCCCGCTTATTTAGTTCAAACTTTTAATTTTATGAAAACCGGACGACTATATCATATAGCTGCATTTGGAACGATCAGCAGATGTAAATGCTTAAATAAAAATAACTTTATTGTACAACAAGAATGAAGCCAACTTTGTAACTTCAAAGTTGCAGACCCTCGCAGTTTGCAAATGGATCATGAAAAATGGACAGTTTTATTTCTTGAAATCTTAGTAAGGATGGACCGTTCTTTTCTTGTGCTCGTTCAGAATTCCACCCAAACTTAATGGAGCAAATTTCCGGTCTGATTGCAATAACTCGTCTCGTATCAATTTGATACTAAGTGAGTAGAATCACTTAGTGCAAGAATGATTGCTCTTTAAAGAATTAAAACTGGATTGCCAATGGTTTAAATCACTAATGCTTTTAATAAAAAATCTTCAGAATCTTTATATTTGATACATATGTATGACATTTATTTATCAGGCTGACTTTTCATGGTCAATAAAAGCTGAGAACGAAACAGTTGAACTCTTGGGAAGTGGCGATAAAAAGGATTCTTTGGATAAGAGTTATTACATATTACAAGAGGGCTATGCAATTGCCAGAACATACAGATGTGTAGCCAACAACACGGTTGGTTCAGGATCATTCTGTGAATTTGAAGTAGCTGGTACGTATACATTTATATAAGTATCTTCTTTAAATATTTATTGGGGTACATGAGACTCGTTGATTTTACATTTCATACCTATCCATCTTCTATACATTTATTTAACCCTTATGACTTGTAAAGCTTGGAGTGTACACGTGTTTGGTTTATTTATATATTTGTTTATTTTTATTTTTTGGGCTTTTATGATAAACAGTAATAGTTCTGTATTTTTTTGTAAATAAGAAATAAAATCAGTAATGTGTTTTCGTGCACAATATATGTACATATCTCGACTACAATTAGGGAATCGTCCTTATCGTTTATTTTTTTTTTAACTCGTCTGCAGCAGGAGTTTCATAAAATTTCCTATACTGCAGGTTTTTGAGATACTCCAATTTAAAAGTTCAAAAAATATGGTTTTTGGGTACTTTTGATGATGTAACTTTTGTACTGTTGTACTTTTGATGATATATCTTTTTTTTTTTTTTGTTATAACTTCAATACGATAATTTCCAAAACGATCGCTACCTTAAAAATATTTCATTTTTAATTTATAAAAACTTTTTTTGGTCTCCGAGATATAGTTCTAATTGTGACGAATTTGACAATTTATATGGAAAAATATCGATATTCAATTCAAAAGACAATATAGAAACTGATTTTGAAGTTAAGGACAGTTTTTTATTTTAACTTAACGATTGTTTTGTTACATTAAATTTTCCGGATTCAAGTTTACCGCATAAAATTATCAATTTGAGTACAATCAGATGATAATCCTGTGAGTTGTTAGATAATCAAATTGTTGCATCGTCGTCGCTATAACACCCCAGTCTGACTTTTTGCTAAGAAAATAGTACTATTTTCTCGTAGAAACGGTGAGACGGAAGTCCTCACCTCTCATGTAAACGTCTAATTCGCTTTTATACATGCGTGGCCGGGGTAATTCGTGGTCTTTTTGTATTGAATGTAGTCGCGAAGGTTCCGTCCCTCAGTGCCAGCTGCTTCTAAAGTCTGCAAAAAAACACCATTAATATATAAATATAATTCATAATCTCATATAAATAAATTAAATACGTAGTACGTACCAAACATCGCGTTGTTTATAAACGAAAATCCCTCTAACCCAATTTTATCGGGACTTCTTGCGTAGTTCATCTTCCGTATTAGCTCCTTGGGGACAAAAACACATTAAAAACTAAATGCAATAATTCAATTACTATGCCTGATTATTAAAGTTTAAGGTGTACAGTAGTTATGCTGTAAGCCATATTATTAAAAATGATAATATATAACTTTAGTTCAATACATATCCTTTAACAAGATCTCATAAACATGACGCCACAGAAATAGTACGGCTGCATGCGTTGCAATTTGGTGTGACCAACTATTGTTTTGGCAAATTTGCATTATCCCGACAATCATATTCGAGTAAATGAATTTTTTTTATGTTAAATTGTTATAAAAATAACACACGCGACTGTTTGGAACACAGCAATATAATTTTTTCAATCGGTGCGCACCCTTAACACCATTTTATACGTCATTTAGTTATTTATGTATATTTTACTTATTTATTTATATTTTAATAATAATGTTAAGTAATAGTTTTAATTGTTTTTATACAAAACAAATATATTGGGATTATTCAGGCTTTCTACATAGTTTAAAAAGCGAATCCTAAGATAATTGCGAAAATGCTGTTTTATCACCGAACGTCGCACTAAAAATACCATAAAAATCCCCTAAAGAAATTTTCGTTTGATTCGTTCGAGAATTTCTCGTTTACCGCTTTGTAGAATTGGAAAGTATTCTTGAAAGCCCTCCCGGTTCCACAAAATTTTATCCTCCGCTGTTCGCGTCGACGCGAAGGATCCTCCCGCAAAATCGGATGGGTGGGTCTCCAAGTTTCTCTGCCCGCCTACTGCTGTCGCACCGATATTGACGGCCGTGTGCCCTTGAGGGTTGTTTTTTCTGTGATTCCCGAACTAATACCAAATACCACACCAGTCGTTTTTATTGTCAGTCATGTATGCAGAATTGTAGGTTCGAAGTTCGAACATAAGGTTTTGATTTATACTATTCGGGGTAGCGAAAACTAGTTAGTTGTACAGATAATTTCGATCACCTAATAATTGATTTAAGCGATACTGTTAACTTATGTAAATTCCGCAAGTCACAATGTCTAAACAGCTCTACTTCGTACTATAGCGTTGGCATAAGTTTTCCTTTTGATACTAAAATCTTAGTTTGTTTTAGAAGGAAGGATTTTGACACTTCAAGAAAGTGCTATACTAACAGTAATGCCTAATGCATTGTCGGCGTATTTTATTGTCAAATTATTGATGACCAAATTTAGACGATATATTGTATCTAATGGTCTCTTAGAAATGTCTATACATTTTGATTTATTCCAATTTATGCTCAATCCATTGCAGTATCTGTCATTAGTAATTCATCAACATACAGGTCGGTGTATTGAATGAATCATCGAAGACGTTCCATACAAAATTACTGATGAAATTAGCATTGGGATGTCCTACGCTGTCATCAGTGACAATTCCATCATCAATTAATTTGTTGATTCATCAACATTTTGGACCAAAAATTCATCAATGATTCGTCCTAGCCGAAACTTTTTTTGTTCTGTTGGTTTAGTATTTTGTTCTAAAATTCCTTAATTTTCAATATAATTCCACTGTTTTTCATTTATATGTATTGTTTTACAACAAATATTGACGGGATAACTGGAATTTGTTAAAAAAAAATTAAACCGTTATTTCACTTTTGGCAGGTACAATCTATTGCTCTTGAGGAGGATATATTTAGCTTTTGTTACTTAGCTTTCCTTATTGCTCTTATGGTAGTTTTTTAATCTTAAATAATTTTTTTTTTTAATTTTTTTATGTATTTATTATTACCAAATAGCAAATATACGCCATTCTAAAGAAATACCCTTACCTCTGACATTAGGTGGAAAGAGAAAAGGACAGGTTTTTTAAGATTTGTACATTTAAGTCTAAGGACATTTTTGACATACAAACGGCTGCCGCCTGTCCAACGGTCTATAATACATACATGTATGTATGTATTATGTAAGAAGTATTTGTTTCATTAAGGACTGAGTACAATTTCGTAGTCGATTTGGGAGTATTTATTTTCATGTTCCTTCTACGTGTTACATTTGTGGGGCAAGGGATTTTTCTCCATATTCACAATAGTTATGATTTCTTCGTTTCTCCAATAAAACTACTAATGGAGCAAGAGACGTTTAAATTGGTCTATAGAATTATTGATTGATTAATTATTTACTGCAGGTTCGGTATATTATATTATAAATCAATGTATTTATTTTTTAATTTATTTAACAGCTAATAGTGCGCTTTTAATTTGGTGGCAAGGTAAACGCCAATCATAAACAAATTCACTTTATTAACTACTATTTTAAACCAAAATTTTGTTCGAAAGTTCTGAGAAAAAACGTAACTTGTCAATAACATTTTTACTAATTATACTAATTACTAATTATACTAATTACTAATTATACTAATATAATGATAGCACACTTACTGTATACCCCTTGAATAACAATGGTAGGACAGTACCCTTAACATAATTTATTCATACTTACATACATACATATGTACATGTTTTATTACTTTCATGCTTTCGTGCGATTATCCTATTACAAAGTGCGTCCAAGAAGTAAGTAACTAACACTAATAATAATGAAAATAATAATGAAAATATGTTGAAACACAACAACGGTATAATTTTTTTCTATTAATTTCCCGATCGTTTCTATGGCAACTTTAAGATATACTCTTCCGATCCGTCCCGTTCCGACATATATAGCAGTAAGAGTATTTAGAAGACTATATGTATCATTCAGATGGCTTTAAAACTGAGGGACTAGTTTGCGTAGAAACGGACGGACGGACAGATGGCCGGACAGAAGGGTGGACAGACGGACGGACAGACTCGGCTGTTGAAAGGAAAGGCTATAAAAGGAAAACATTAAAATAAATAAAGCCTCAACTTAGTAAAGTAAACAAGTTCATAGCCCAAGGATGTTATCATTACAATTTGAATTACAGAATCGATTCATTTCGGAACAAATTCTAACAGGAGAGTTATTATAATAATACAAAATCTATGAGTAATAACATTGACCTGTTCCAATAACATTCTCAATAAGACATTGGTACTTCCTAATAAGCTGCGCAGATAAATATGTATAAAGTTAGAAACATGAAATATAAATTAATTGGAAAGCTTTGATTTAACTAGGATCATTACACAGATATTAACGCATTTAAAAGTTATTTAGAAACAGCTAAAGTTCTAGGGGGATTTTTTAAGCTGATTTTTCTAAAATCTAGAAAAAAAATTCTATGAGTGTAGATATTGCGTTGAATCAGGAGGAAGTTTTTACAAATATTATTTTACGAATATTGTTTCGATTAACATAATTATTACTCAAAAAATAAATAATACATTAGGGTTCTTAAAGGGGTCCACCAAGATTACAGTTTTGTCTTTTTAAGAAAACCCCTACTATTGACATATAGTATCGTGACAGAATCGACCGTAGACCCGAAAATATAGAAAACATCGATAGCGACACTAGCAATATTTTTACATTTTTAAAAATAATAAATGAAGTTGTAGTTACTTTCCAAATGTAATAATTCCTACAAATTTTAAGGCTTAATAATACATTTTAACAGACTGAAAGTTAAGAAGCAGCTGTGGCTATGATTGTTTCGATGGCGCTATAAATAACCAGACCACGTTGCTAATTATCGCTAGTTTTCATGGCACCTACATATCTCACCCCACATTTGAACTAGAATCCAGTAGAGATACTAAGTTGCTTTGCGAGATCAAAAACAAACCCCGAAAATCGACAATAGTTATTTTTGTTGTATTTGAATGACCTATTTTGGCATATTTATGTAGTTGTATATATTTTGTACGCAACTGTGAATCAAAAATATTTAAGGGATTGAATTGACTGTAAAATTTGAGTACAATTATAACTATGTATGTACATATATGTATATACTCGAGTGAGACAAGACTTTTTTATATGTATACATACATTCGACGAACTACACATTTGTTGAAAAGGTTTTCATGTTAAGTCATCCCGTATTCCGACTCCCTTGCATGTCTTTATCAACAAAATGTATGTTAAATTCTGCCCAAATAGAATAACTTTACTGATCACATTCTTGTGTTTTTTAAATAGAGCAACTGGCTTGGTGGCAAATATGGGAAAAGACTACACTCATCGTACTAGTTGCGGCTATACTTGGATTGTTGCTGATCGTCATTATCATTTGTTGCATTATTATATGCGTGTGTCGTCGCCGCCGGCGCCAGGATAAATGTGAGTACTTGTACATCAGAATAAGTACAAATTTAACAATATTTAAAATAGTTAAATTTATAAATTAAGGCAACATAAAGCTAATACAAATTAAGGATAAATATAATTAAAATTAAATATATAAAAATATCAAGCAAAGTATAATAAGCAGGGAAGGCAACTTTAAGAAGCCGACGTTTGTGTACCCTAGCAGTTTGAAAGTTGACCTAACCCAAGCTATTATCTCTATAGATGTATCAAAAAATTATATAAACAATAAGACCATTTTTTGAGAACTTAATATAAATTGCCCGATCGCTCTTATGACAACTATGTATGAGATTAAGTCCTGTGATTTCAAATTGAAAAAGAAAAACAATGTATTAATTTAAATAACAAAATCACTTTTCATCTTTTTTTTTGAATATAGTTACATTAAAGGATTCAATTGATCAAATTTGACAGAATCTGGCATACAATTAAACAGATATCGAAATATATGAATGCAATGTAGCACTAACTATTTATGCTTTATGATTTAGTCGTCCGATCCGGGCCATTCTGACATATATTGCAGTGAGAGTATTCAGAAGACTGACGGACTAGTTTGCGTAGAAACGGACAGACGGACATGGCTAGATCGACTCGGCTGTTGATGCTGTTCAAGAATATATAAAAAGTTCATTATGTCTGTGATTACTAAGTCAGCTAATCGATATAACTACCTGGCATCAAAATATAAAAAATATGGAACGCAGATGGTTGCTTCAAGATAAGACCGTATTCACAAATCATAGAAAGTTTTAAAGTAAATTGATATCATGTAATTAGAGCTTTTTAGTCGTTTTGTGAGTCGTTAGTCAATAAAGTTGTCAGGTGTTATCCTATCGGTTGGCGGTTAGAGCCCTGACGCGGACTCCTTTATATATATATTTTTTATTACTATTGTTATTATTAGTAACTTCACATTTTATTGCATAATTTTATATAAATATAAATAACTAAATAACTATATTAAAAATTGATCCAATATGCTTCATACATGTAGTTAATGTAAAGCAGTAGCAAACCCAATTGGCTGACATCCAGCTTGCCTGGTTTTACCTACTTTTAGCAATCTGCCTTGGTAAACTGAGTGTAAAAATATGTTGTTTTTTTATTATTACAAATAAAGAAATTTACAAGACTAAATTAGCTTAGTGGGTATAGCACTGGGTACAAGGCGTTTGGATTTTTGACTTAATAATATTTGTTGGTGTATAGCATTTTCTTCATTTTTTATAGTTGGTAGTATTTTTAATTTATGTACATTTTTGTGGTTCTGGTTTATATTAGTATTTTTGAGTTTCTTTGAAAAAATTTGTTATTATTTTGTTTGCTATTGCGTCAATATCTAAGGGAAAGTCAGAACAGACCATAACCTTGTGCTTTTGACTTGGCAGCGGAGTAGAAAGTTCTGACAAGTATAGGGGTAGAATTCCGTACTTTCTTATATGTATGTATGTAACATATTAGTGTATTTTGTGACAACGTGGAGCTCAGTTTTGATCTTTCAGAAATATGATTTTGTATGTTTTACGGCTGGGTTTGGTTTCCTGCGTGTATCTGCAGTTAGTTTTTGTGTTTTTAAACTGCAGCTCGCGGCATGTGTTGGTTTTAGATTTGGAATTAGCTATTAATTGACAATTGTTTTGATATTTACAAGAGATAAATGCTTAAGTTGCATTTACAAAGATAGTGGTACATTCAAATTTAGTAGGTGATTTGTGAGCTGTTTAGAAATTTGAGTCTATAGGTATTTTAAGCTGAGTGTTTCTTAGTTATTCGTTCCACCAACTTTCTGGCAATCTTAGCAACCAAAAGAAAATGAATATATAAATTAATATATAAATTAATATATAAATTAATATATAAATTACTAAAAATGGGAGTAGCGGTTTTCGCTTTTAAAAAAAGTGCGATTTTGTGAATGCGAAAACCAAAGCAAATTTTTTATTAAATTTTATTATAAGCAGGCAACTATTTTATATACATATCTCCTGTAAAAGCGATCGGTCAATTTATGTCCATAATACATATGGAAAGTGTAAAAGCTTTAGCTACCCGAAGTAAGCTACTATAATTGTTAAACCGACAGATACCCAAAAATGCTCACATTTCCGATTTACAATTATATATTTAAGTTAAGATAAGAGAGTTTATTTAAATGTAAGGAACAAAAAAAATACCCGCTTTATTGTAAATCTACATCCTAATATTCAGGCTAGCAATAACTTACGTACCAGTAAATGTAAACTTTTTGCTTGACTTCTTAATATATTTATATGCACCGCTTATATTCACAAATGCTTGGTTCAACAACATTTTCCGATGTCTAAACGGCTAACGCATGTAACTCTTAACATTGTGGGCTTCAACTATAATTCCACGAACATCCTTCATGCATGCACACAACTACACCAAAATATATACAGATTTTACGGAAATTTCAATAAGTGCTACGCAAAGGTAAGTCCAAAAAACTCGAATTTATTAGTATTTACAGTACGAATAAGGAAAAATTACCAGAGACCGAGCATTTTATTTTATATCGTACCCATTTATAAAGGGTTCAATATTTTAAAGCCAACTGCCATAACATATGCGGTTGATGCACCTTCGCCGTAGTAGTATTTATGATCTGTTGACAAACATCCCAGTTGATCAGTTGAAAAAATTCCTGCAGTAAATCCTACCATTCTGTCGGTCAAAATGCAACAATCAAAATCTTGGGTTCAGTACCTTTTGAGTTGCAGCAATAAAACGTGACACATTAAGTGATATGACTGCTACAGTAAATCAAACTACAATTCTGTAGTTGAAAAGCGACACATACAGTACAGATCAGAGATCTGCGTTGGTGCACTGCAATTACAAGTGCATCGCGCACACACATTGCATTTCCTAATCTCGTGTCTCAAAGCATTTCTATGCAGTGCCAAATGTGAGCGCGCCGAAAACCTATTTTAAAAAATGTAATCTAGATTCTAGTATTTGAAGCCTATGTGATTATGCTTTTATGACATTACTGCATTAACTAGAGATTTAAGCCGAGTGCCATGGGCTTCTTTCAATGAAACTTCGAATAAATTGGTAATGCATTAGCTAAGAAATCAAGAAAAAAAATCGAAAGATCGATAGCAAACATACTGATTTATAGGGTATTCCCACATATCGATGTTTGACATTATGTATCGATATCGGGTATTATTTTCTAAACATCGATACATCGGTAAAACATCGATTTATAGTCAAGCCTCTACCGCATTATCGTTCCCTGGTATGTCGTTGTGCCCTTGCACCCAGGTTATCTTGACGTCGCACAGTAGCGCCTCTCGAACAAAAGCCGTTGCAAAAGTAGGAAAATTCATAATCGCAAAACCATACAAATCCGACAGAGAATTTCCCAAGGATTCCGAATCTTTAATCAACAATTTTCAGATATTTGTTGTGGAAGATGTGAGCATTCAAAGTTGAAATGATTTTCGGTGTATGCCATTCAGGTATTATAACACAAAAACTACATAATTTTTGAATTTGAATTTTTTTTTTTTAATGATAGATACATTTATTAGCTCTTATTCAAATGAAAAAAGGGTAGTTTTCTTTGTTTGTACAGGTAAATCGCTACTTGACAGGTGTCCATTATTTTCACCTTTTTCTGGCTAATGTAGTCTATAACTTCTGAAGATGGACAGAGCCGGCAACTTCTTTTCTGAATCAAAATCAGTTTTAATTTTTTCATTTTTGGGTGAGGTCAACATTTGTGTAGATAAGCCCGTATCCAAATAGCGGACTTCATAATTATTCTTGGGATTTTGAATATTCATTTTAGAAGGAAATAATAAAGTTTTTGTCTTTCAACTAAATGGCAACAAATGTAACGGTCTCTGATAATTATTTAAGTAAATTGGTAAATAACGGTGTTGTATCAAGGCTCTTATAAGTATATATCAATATAATATAATATTAGTAATATAATATAATATTAGTAATATAATATTATAATATTAGAGCTTTTTTAAGAAAAAGGTAACTAAGCATGTACATGCCTTATCTGAATCATGTGTTCCATATCGCTATTTTTTCATACTCACTTAATCGCTTTATTATCTGCCACACTCATTCTTCACCACCAGTGTGCTATCTTATGAGCCGGTATCGCCTCAAATGGGTGGGGCCCAACCTGTTCTAGATACATCTGCAGCGTCTACGGCCGAACCTCTGCCGCAGAACCAAGGAACGGAGGAACAAAGAAAATGGTCAAGAGGCAATCAGAAATATGATACTTCTTTAACACGTCCCAATGCGAATCGCCTTCCTGGCAGCGTGCCTAAATCGCCACCGCGCTGGCCGATTCGACCTGGTGTAATGCTGCACGTGAGCAACGATACGAAGGAGAATCTGACTGTTAATCGTATGGCAATAAAACCGAATTCCCTCGGAAATGAAGGAAGAGGAGACCAGTTGCCGGCTCAATGGGGTGCCGGGCTGAACGAGACCAAAAATGCTTCGAATAGTAGTCTTTTAGTAGTATCTGAAAGCAGACAGGCTGGATTAACTCCACCTGCGGTCCCCCATCAACAGCTTGCAAGCTTGCCTCTAACAAATGAATCAGAATCTGTACCAAATGCACCAGTTCTTTTGGCGCATTTATCGTCCAAAGCCGCTGAGCCTTCCACCTATAATAAAGTGGAACGTATTTTGGCATTGGTTTTCAAGAGGGCGCGAAAACGATCTAAAGATTGTACTCGGGATAGTCAGCGCAGCCATGTGGGACTCTTGCAGTCGATTTGGCGTAGTCGTGCATATGAAAAAAATCCGTTGCCCGCTGGAGCTCACCATCGTCTAAAGGGGATACGGTGCAGTGGAAGTGGTATAGTATTTTCAGTCTCCATTATTTATTAAAAACATTGTTGTATTTGATTTTAATTTTGTTTTTACATTCATTCTTGTTTTTTATGTTTTATGCCTTGCCACATATCATACCCACTCATATAGTAACATACAAAAAGGACCCAGAGAAAGAGGCTTGTAATCAACGCATCGCAAAAGCAGAGCTTGTAGCAGAAGCCCATGTAGCGATCAATACAAGCAATATTCAAGAACATGCTCGATCAAAATTTCAAGTCGCTTCATCATGCAATCAGCCGAAAGAAGGAGATCACGAAGCTGACAGAAGGGAAACTCTTTACAAGGAAGTAACGGAAAGAACCCCCAATATTGATGCGTGTGATATTAATGCTAGCGCCATGCAGTTTAATCAGTCAACTTATTTAACTTCATTAAGGAATGCGAAACAATTGACTCCGTTGAAAGGACATCCTCCCATTAGCAATTTGCCTGAAACTGTTAATGCCAGCTGCTTAAATTGTTCTACTAGTTCAAAGTCGATCCCACCCATCATCCTTAAAGATGTACAATGTAAGAATTGAAATGAAAAGTAATAACTTCAGCACGCTTACATATATACTTTATTTTCATTTTGTACTTTGTTTTATTACTTTTTATGAATAGCAATACCAATATCATTCAAAAACATTTTTTGTATGTGTACTGCCGTTTCAAAATTCGCTAACTGGAAGTAATGCAGTTTTTTTTTTTTTTAAGGGTTTCGGGTTATTACGCATTAACGACATAAAATAGCAAACAACATAAGTTCGCAAAAAAAATAATGAGTACATACGTATAAAAGATTTTTGATAATATTTCAAAAGAAAATGCTTAACTAAAATTAAAAAATATATTACATTTTTAATAGGTAGCCACAAAAAAACCATAATTTTATAAAAAATGGTGCCAAACTTCTGTTAAAAATTAAAAAAAAAAAATCAACGAGCTCGACCTTTCCATTGTTTCAAATTGATTGATGTTTTTGAAAGATATACAGGCCTGCTCCGGTAATCGAAAACGGCAAGAATTTTTCGTTTTCGTTTTTAAAAACGAGAAATTGGTGCTCCGGTAATCGAAATCGAAAGATTTTTTCGATTTGAAAAACGGGCACCTTTTTCTGGCCGGAATGAAAAGTAAATGGCTTTTTCTATATGAAATCAGATCTTATTTACAAAAGGAAAAAAATTGTTTACTCGGTGGTCTATTGATGTTTATTCCACACCACCACAAGATCATTCTGGCAGGTAATTATTTTATTTTATTTATTTATTTATTTATTTTATTTTATAAAAAATTTATTTCTGACCCCACCTCAGATTTGACAACAAAATTTTTGCCGTGTTCAACCGGTTTTCTCGGTTTGGCGATAGGTCGATAAGTTCACCGCAAAAAGTTATCGCCAAGGTTGCCATATTGTTGGTGGAACGAAACATCCAGTTAAAAATACTTATAAAATATAAATGATTCCATTAATAACTTTAAAGGAACGCCAAAATGGTTGTTTAAAAATAATGCTATTTAATGTGATTACTTAAATGGTCCAAATTAACCAAATAATTATTTGAGACCACCGGAATTAGAACTGTGAACAGTGTGGCAGCATCTTAGGTGCCTATATTTGCTTAACTCTACCATTTTTTGCCTTTTTCTGGCTTAGAAAAAGAACAATTGTACATATAAAAGGCAGTACTTTACGTTGTTTGCTTATTACCAACAACACAAGTTAGCTGCTTGAGCAATGAGAAACGATGAGAAAACGAAACATCCGATAGCAGAAATTTGCCGAAAACCGGAGCAGCTAAAAACGAAAACAGTTCGTTTTCGCCCAAAACGAAATCGAAAAAATTTTACGATTACCGGAGCAGGCCTGATAATGTATACTTACGTCAATCCAAAGGGTTCGCAAGAGATTTGCCTATTATTCGCCCACCTCTACATATTTTTTACCAACAAATTAAAAAAAAAATCAATTTTAATGTTTTGTTATTATACTGCATTTCAATTAATATTCCAAAAGTAACCGTTTTGCTAATACTTGTATATTTTTACATTACATTTTAGATGATTTTAATATAACCTAACATGTTGTTTAATTAACAAGAAAGGAAGCTAACTTGGATAAACCGTCTATAATCGCAATTCGCGTTATATAAATGTATTAAAACAGCAAAGTTTAATGTTGGCATTCCAGTTTGGCCCGTCTCGAATTACTTATATAATACATGCTTTAGTAAGGCAGGACATAATCATAAAGGTATAATGGGATCGGTTGCTATAAATGTTTCTTTTTTTATTTTATTTTAAATTTATATGCGTAAATCTCCAAATAACCTTTGTTAGTGCTTCTTCTTATAGCTGAATGATTGGGTCAAAGGTCAAATTAAAAGCGTCGAATAAGTTTGACTTTCCAAGGTTAGCTTCCGTTCTTAGTCTTTTTGTAGTTCGCCATTTTCTTTTTAATGACATCATTGTCGGCACCAATACAGACAAGCCAGAGTTGAATTAGTGTAAGTACAAAAATATGCTAAGTTTGCTTCGTTTGGGAAACTGTTGCGCCAGTGAGATGTGCCCGTGCATATGATGAATACATAAATGTATATGTTTTGTTTATGCAATATTTTACTAAAACTAAATTCAACCAGAAACTAGCAAGCAGTTTATTATGTATCAGCATTAAGTAAGTTTTTACCTATTTAAGGTATAACATTATTCACAACGTTTGTAATATTTAATATTTTACGACTGTATACATATACATTAAAACGAAATAGGTATATAATTTTTGTAATCTAATATATGAGAATACTTTCTAATTTATTTTTAAAATTTGTAAAACTTATTTTATTTTTACTTTTTTCTCATTTGCTTCCAATATAAAATACGAAAACTTGTGGGATTTGAAATATCTCCATGATCGATATGTCACCGGAATAATCTGCCGATCCGTAACGTGTATGGTTATATAGTACACGACAAGTCGTCTTCACTGGGGGAACCATTGACGGAACCTGGAGAGTATGAGAATCTGCCGTTTCATGGTCTGCAAACGGCACCTAACAAGGTACAGTTATTATATATCGGCTCACTTGCACTTCATAAATCATTGTTTATTAGGTATATTAAGTTAATAAAAGTCTCATTTTTATAAACCATTTTATCACCTAATTTTGCATATATTTCCTATATGTAAGTTTTATTTTTTTTCGTTATGCATTCCATATGTTAATTTAACCATCAAATAACGTAAAGTTCCCCATAAATAAATATACATAAGTCATCTAATTTATGTATGCTTGAAAAGGGGCTTACCTGCACTTAGACTAAAAGCCAACCGCCCAAATCTTAATCTATTTTCGCTTTAGATTATATTATAGATTACCAAATTTAATTTTTTTTAAACTTTATTTACATAAGTTACATCCAAAAGTACTAAACCATGATACAAAAGGAAAATTTATTTTAATTAATAAAATAATGTTATAATAAAAGTATAAATATAAAATCAAATGTTTAAATAGTCAATAATGCAACAAGTGTTAAATATATAATGGCTTACAATTGGAAGTTACATATTTTTTTTAGAGAAACAAACCAATGACATATGAAGATATTTTAATTAGTATTTATAGGCAAATGCTAGTTCAGTGCATATATACATATGTACATATACATATGTTTCTTTAGCATTCAGGGATCTTGAATAATAAAAAGAATGTCAAAGAAGCATTGGTATGAATGGAGAGACACCGAATTTAAAATAAAAATACTTTTTATTTGTATACTATTATAACCTCTTAAATATTTGAATATTGGAAATTGACCTTTTATCCTAAAATAAATAATACAAATGCTTTTATTATTTTAATACAAATTCAATGGTCAATGATCAAGTCACAGTTTTGAGTCACTGTTCAGAGCCGTGTATTATACACGTTTTTCTGGCTATATTTTTAAATGCTACTGTTATTAGTTTAATTATAATACTACTCCATTTGACGTAGATGATCTGCCTCCTTTAGTTGATGCTATCCATTCTTCCTAAATTGATTATCTTTTATGCTTTGATTTACACCGAGTGGAAACCAATGCCACATAACTTAGGGTCAACTAAAAATGTATTGAACAGACAGAAGGATGCATCTCCAAAACCAATAAAAGCTGTTTAAGATGTTATTAGTCTAACTTTTAAGCAGCATTATCTTAGATCTTACCCCACTCATGAGATGTCCACTTGTGTACAATATACATACTTCAACGAGCTTTTTAGATTTTGGCATAGTCATTAACTAGCGCAATTTTGCCTAAGCACATGAAAAGTACGTAACCAGAATTATGTCCAAGTTTGAAAACTCGATTGAAAACGCTATAGTCTTAGTATTTTGTAATGACAGCTAAAACTACACAATTAATAATCCGAGCAATTGTTCTTATACTTTTTTTGCATGTTTCCTGTGTTCCTTCTAACTAACAAATGCAACTAACGCAATGGATTAAAATGACAGTTCTCCGCTACCCCTACAAGTTTTAATAACAACACAAATATGGAGCACTTCGTTCCACGATCCGAGAGACTCCATGGAGATATTAGTAAGCTATCTGTCCTCCATCAGCAACCTCAACAGACACCTCAGCACCACTTCACATACGCTCATGCTTTCTCTGACCATGAAGTTGAAAAAAATTATAGCTCGCAGTACATCATGCACCGCCTACCTACTACTTACCAAGATAACCGAAGCTTTAATGAGCCAGTTTCTGCACATAATGAACTACAAAATGTAAGCAATGTGTTCTCAAAGAATAACCCTGAACATTTCCAACGTGACCAACATAAAAATAAGAACACACAAATATCAGATGATGCCACACAAAAAATCAACACCAACTCTTTGTCGGATGTTCAATTATTAAATGATAGAGACCAGGATTACCAGTCAACGTATGCTACAGTGGAGCGGACTTCGCTACCACCTAACGTTCCGAATACGTTGCTACTCAGCACTAATCCTTTTTTGACTTCAAGTAAGAGTAATAATTACAACACAGTTGGAGAAGATGAGTTAGAAGGCACAGCCCGCGGAAAATTTAGCAAAACTACGTTAGCTAGGGACAACCAATTTTACTCGTTGAAGTTATCAAGCGCAACCAAGATTAAGAAAAAGGCTTGCAATGTAAACTGCTCCATGGGATTAACCACATCTCCCAGCTCTTTAACTAAGTGCAAAAAGAAGCATTCTCTTGCTGGCAATAAACATTGTCTTATGGAAACAACTAGCCAACCCATGCGTCATTATGATTACGAGAATGTGGCAAATAAAACTACCTCAAGTCAGAATGTAGTACATATGGACGGAGGGAGGAGCAAACTACATTCCATTTCGAACCTTGCAACTGTGGAACTGCATGCGCATCCTTATGATAAGGACAATACTGCCGTCGTCCAAAAAAAAAAAAAACACCACCATCGCTATCACCAGAAAAATGATGCTCTAAGTGCGGAAAGCTGTGCGGAATTTCCATTGATGGAGCCCGAGTGCATCAGTATTTATAGAAGCGATTCCGGAATATCCAACAGCTCCTATGAGTCCCAATTGCCTACGGCTTTGTCACAACATCCACAATCTAAAATAACTAAAAACTCATCCTCTGGCTCACTATGTCGAAAACCAATTAAAAGAAATATGGAGGCTCAAACTGGTATATTTCCTCATGGTGACTTGGACCAGGAAATCAAATGGCCCAAAGAACCTGCCTTAACCAAAAGCCAACTTAAGGATGTCGGCGAAATACTTGCTTATGAGCCGGCATCGGTCCCCCGCAGTGCCACAAGTTACAACAGTATTAGAAGCGACGTGACTGTCTTAGAAAAAAAAGAATCCGTTGAAGCAGACATGAGTACCCCAAAAGCTTCGGATCAATATCAACTTGGCCACCAACTTAAACATTCTGAAACCCCCTCTTCTGTTAGCGCAAAAAGTGCACTTGAAATGACAACACCAGCAAAATGCAGTGAAATATCTAATCATGATAAGGTTGGTATAAGCAAAAATAATACATCAAAAGTTTATTTAATCATTTTAATGATTATTTTGCCTAGATTGAGGGGAATGACTTTTATAAAATTAATCAACAAATTAATTAAAAACAACAATTGCATTTCCTGTATGAGACCCAAATATTTCTGCCAATTATGGCATATTTTCAAAAATAGATTGTGAATTTTATTCGTTTCATTGAGCTTAAAGACTGATCAGTTATGTTGCGCACCGCGAAGGTCCTTATTTTGTTGGTTCTTTAGCCTTTCAGATAAATTTGACATTTTTTTTTTTAATTTTGACACACGGAAAATCATTTCCGACCCCAAGAAATGTGGGTGTGTTTGTCCATATCTCCGTATTAAAACCATAAAATCATAACTTCAGCGTTCTTGAACATAGTTTAATACGCTTTGAGATATGATTGGTTATGATTCTAGAATTTAAACAAATATCATATAGCTGTCAAAGACAAAAAAAAGTATATATATGTATATATACAGCTGTGTTCACGGAAATAGCAGTGCCCCAAGACCTGCACGTTTAAGATTGGAAAATACTATTACAAACACTATTTTCATAAAATTTTTTTTCATAAAGGCTTAGTGTATTTAATTATTAACAATACCACAATCATTTAATTTAGGTAACATAAACCTAATAGAAGATATAGCTAATAACAATAAAAAAGGTCTATATTATGCCGATCATTGAAATAGCAGTGAAAAACTAAAATTCCTCATAAATTTAAAAATATCGTATAAGACACCTATTTCTTCTCAAATTCTAATTGACTATGATCTAATATTTTGTTAAATAGCATTTAGAAGCTATCATAGCCTCATACCTGGGTGGCAAGGAGTCCACCAAGTCTTAGCAACGCTTGAGGGGAATATGGCCTCATTCCTCCTGCACAAATTGCCAAAGCTGTGGCTTAGAAGTCGGGAACTTCTTTAATACGTAGCCCTTGATGTCCCCCATAAGTTTTCGATCGGATTTATATCCGGGGACTGTGCAGGCCATGGCATTGCATCCACTTTTTCATTAAAAACCCACTCCTTGGCCACCTTGATGGTATGATTAGGGTCACTGTACTGCTGAAATGTCCAAATTAATGGCATATTTTCCTCAGTATACGGCTGCAAGACAGTTTTTAATATTTGGACATAAACATAATGGTCTTTGATCCCACAGATCATATACGGGACCTACAACGTTGTATGAAAAGTATACCCATACCATGATTTTTTGGGCCACCGTGTTTTACTGTCTTCAGCGTATGGTTTGGAGGGTACTATGTATTTGGAGGTCGACGGACATATTGTCTTGTCCTATTCCACCAAATAAAACCAGTTTGGAGTCATTTGTCCAAAGGACATTACGCCATTTGAATAGTGCCAGTTCAAGGGGCTATTGGCGAACTCAAACTGGCCTTGATATGCCTTTAACCAAGCAGTGACATTTTCCATGGACTTCGCGAATCTAAAATTTATTCAATAAGTCCCCGGCGAATGGTCCCATGGCTGATTCCCATGCCAATTCCCGCTCATATATCCCCAGAGGATGCCAAAAGGACGAGCTTTGCTGAAGCGAAGTACGCGTCCAGCCTGTACAATTGTGGTTTTGCGAATCGTACCTCGGTTTTTTTGGGTTCGGTTCATATTTTATGACTTATAAACTATTTTAAAAGAACAATTTGAAAGATTTAGAGACTCTTTACATGTTTTGCCCTTCTTTCTAGGCTAAATTATCTGATATCTTTCTCTCATGGAGCAGTGAGGTCCTGCGCCCACTAAAATAATTTTTTTTGCGTTGTAAAGGTGTATTATAGTATAAACTATAATAACGACCTTAATTTAACTCATTTTTTACAAAATTAAAAGAAATTTCGGCATTTTTTGCGAAAGAAAATAAAAAACTGCTATTTCAGTGATCGGCCAAAACGAGCTGCATATGTGAAAAATATCAATAAAACTTTAAAATAGAGCAAATCTAACGGAATTTTTTCTCGATTCTTATCTTTATGTTCCATTTTACAAAAACAATGTGCAATAGATCAGCTAGCAAAAAGGAATATGTACAAAAAAACGTTTTGAAGTTGTTCCTCTGTCGCACTGCTATTTCAGTGAACACAGCTGTAGCTGTAAGAAGCAAAATATATATACAGCTGTGTTCACTGAAATAGCAGTGCGACAGAGGAACAACTTCAAAACGTTTTTTTGTACATATTCCTTTTTGCTAGCTGATCTATTGCACATTGTTTTTGTAAAATGGAACATAAAGATAAGAATCGAGAAAAAATTCCGTTAGATTTGCTCTATTTTAAAGTTTTATTGATATTTTTCACATATGCAGCTCGTTTTGGCCGATCACTGAAATAGCAGTTTTTTATTTTCTTTCGCAAAAAATGCCGAAATTTCTTTTAATTTTGTAAAAAATGAGTTAAATTAAGGTCGTTATTATAGTTTATACTATAATACACCTTTACAACGCAAAAAAATTATTTTAGTGGGCGCAGGACCTCACTGCTCCATGAGAGAAAGATATCAGATAATTTAGCCTAGAAAGAAGGGCAAAACATGTAAAGAGTCTCTAAATCTTTCAAATTGTTCTTTTAAAATAGTTTATAAGTCATAAAATATGAACCGAACCCAAAAACCGAGGTACGATTCGCAAAACCACAATTGTACAGGCTGGACGCGTACTTCGCTTCAGCAAAGCTCGTCCTTTGGCATCCTCTGGGGATATATGAGCGGGAATTGGCATGGGAATCAGCCATGGGACCATTCGCCGGGGACTTATTGAATAAATTTTAGATTCGCGAAGTCCATGGAAAATGTCACTGCTTGGTTAAAGGCATATCAAGGCCAGTTTGGAGTTCGCCAATAGCCCCTTGAACTGGCACTATTCAAATGGCGTAATGTCCTTTGGACAAATGACTCCAAACTGGTTTTATTTGGTGGAATAGGACAAGACAATATGTCCGTCGACCTCCAAATACATAGTACCCTCCAAACCATACGCTGAAGACAGTAAAACACGGTGGCCCAAAAATCATGGTATGGGTATACTTTTCATACAACGTTGTAGGTCCCGTATATGATCTGTGGGATCAAAGACCATTATGTTTATGTCCAAATATTAAAAACTGTCTTGCAGCCGTATACTGAGGAAAATATGCCATTAATTTGGACATTTCAGCAGTACAGTGACCCTAATCATACCATCAAGGTGGCCAAGGAGTGGGTTTTTAATGAAAAAGTGGATGCAATGCCATGGCCTGCACAGTCCCCGGATATAAATCCGATCGAAAACTTATGGGGGACATCAAGGGCTACGTATTAAAGAAGTTCCCGACTTCTAAGCCACAGCTTTGGCAATTTGTGCAGGAGGAATGAGGCCATATTCCCCTCAAGCGTTGCTAAGACTTGGTGGACTCCTTGCCACCCAGGTATGAGGCTATGATAGCTTCTAAATGCTATTTAACAAAATATTAGATCATAGTCAATTAAAATTTGAGAAGAAATAGGTGTCTTATACGATATTTTTAAATTTATGAGGAATTTTAGTTTTTCACTGCTATTTCAATGATCGGCATAATATAGACCTTTTTTATTGTTATTAGCTATATCTTCTATTAGGTTTATGTTACCTAAATTAAATGATTGTGGTATTGTTAATAATTAAATACACTAAGCCTTTATGAAAAAAAATTTTATGAAAATAGTGTTTGTAATAGTATTTTCCAATCTTAAACGTGCAGGTCTTGGGGCACTGCTATTTCCGTGAACACAGCTGTATATGATATTTGTTTAAATTGAAACAATTTTGTACCATATAATTTAGATTTTCATCATATGATTCGTTCTCCTTTCCAACATAGGCAATTTGTTTATTTTCTTTATTAAAATCGCTTGGTCTCCTGTAGGAAGGAAGATTGTTGGAAAACAAATTTCGTAAACTTCTTTTTCTTTAAAAGAATATATTTAATTTGGTTCCCTATTTACTTACATGCATTTTATGTTGGGATATACACGGCGCAAAAAATCAACACTTCATCATTATACTGCATGCACTTAATTATTCAAATAACGGTAGCAAATCAAATGGCTAGCTAATAATCCATTTCTAGCAAAAAATGGGAAAAGTAATGACAGCGGAAATAACAACAAAGGCAATCTCCGAAGACAAACTATCAGTGACCCATACTTTCATATTAAACGACAGCCATATGGGGCACTTGCCCCAGATAATCCGACAAGATTGTCAGAGGAATGGCAAATCAAGAACACCACGAGTAATGCCACTAGTAAGATCGCGGCCAGATCCAATGAAGAAAATAATGAACGGTTGCTAGAGCCCAGAAAATGGCTTGTTGAGAAACCACGATTAAATTACGTGCCACACAAGGAAGACTTTCCGGCCCAGATTCTTCCAGAGGTCCTGAAAGAACCGCTTGAAGGGGTGCACTACGACTATTTAGTTTCAAGTCGGCCAATTCGCTTGCCGTTGCGAAAACATCACACCTTTCATTTTCAAAACAGTCAAACAGCAAACGGTAAGCTACATCAATTACGGCAGCAACTACAGCATCACCTTCGAGACAGAATCAAGTTTGAACAGGAAAACGGTTTTTCATATTGCCCGCTGCAGCACGTCTTCAAACCAATTTCCCCAATACCATCTGTGACAGCTTCTATTGAGGAGTTCAAGACTAAAAAGAAAGGTGAATTGTCTTCTTCTGAACAAGAATATGACCACTATTCCAAAGAAGCGGATGACGATGAAGATCCTGGTTACAGTTTTTGTGAGGAAGAAAGTATTGTGGACAACGATAACTATCCCACCTTGGACAATCTTAAATCATATTCCTAAGCTCCACCCCTAACAATGGGAAATATTTGAAAAATAACAATGCCACAGCATGATCTTTTTACATTTTTTACCGCCCAAAGTTTTTATTAATCAAGCCTAAGCGAAGCATACAAGGTATTATGTATAATATATGTTATGTGTATGTATATAAAATATATATAATAGTTTAAATGTATAATATTAACACTAAAAAAAATATTTCCAAATTTCAAATAAAGTTATAAATATGGAAAGAGGAATAAAAAGGTTTTATTTTTTTTTTTTTTTTTTGCATCAAAGAATTTTAATATTATAAAAAGTGGACATTTCCTACATAAATTCTGACCTTTGTAAAGCTTCATTTTCTTTTTCCTCTCAATACATTACAAGTTAAATACATATAGCATATTTATTAAAATTTTGGTTAGTATGAAAGTTTGAAAAGTTCTTGTCAACTGTCAGAAAAATAAGCTAGCATCCCGGTATATAGCCTACGTCAAAATAAGAATATATATAAGAATAAACTTTGAGAATTATTTTATCTTAAGTACAAAAATCATTTCCTATGTATGTTATGTTACTATATAATAGCCCATAGTTTTTCAATGCAAATCACCAGATTAAAAAAAAAAAAAACCAAACCAATAGCCAACCTACAATGCGAGCTTTTTCTATATCTCATATATTTTTTTTGTTTTCACCATTGCTCTGGTACATGTGACGAATGCATTCGTTCTTAGTAAGTCCGTATATTTGTATGCTAGTCCGCGAAATTGTATGCCATTGTCCCATTTTAATGGCAACTTTTGTCCCTCAGAGGTTTTAATATTTTTTTGTTTAATAAATTTATTTTAAAATCATAACAGAGTGCTTGCTTGTAAGCTTAGAAATGTGTTGATGTAAACGATCTACTACCGAAAGTGTAAAATTTTATCTCCGCAAGGTATGCTGCGAGCGAACTTGTCAACTTAGTACAAAACGCAGTCGAATTGTCATTTCTTTTAGTTCTTAAATATTGGTTCTTTTTGAAACCGTGTTTCAGCAGTTGTATTGACACAACCAAAAATAAGTAAGTCTGTTTGTTTCACTGTGAGACACCCGGAACCAAAGTAGGAAAACTACAGATGAAAACGGATACACTGCGATCACGCTTCTCTTGAGGTGTATATCGATAGATGCCCCCGATTTATATGTTCAGAGTTAAGAGTTAGTGTTTTTCCTTTTGTTTGTTTATTTGATAATATACTCTGAAAAACACTGCAGCAGTTTCTCCTGCTGGAATGTGGATCTCCAACTTCGATAATGTAGTCGTCGGATGTGGTTGCTTTGCACCTCACTGTGAAGGTTATATTTTATGAATACAACCCAAGTAATTTATGATGTTGAGATACAGGCTGATGCAACGAGTACAGCTGACAGAGCAGAGAGTCGATGCCCGATTTAAAGTTGATGTTAACATTCTTCGTGGGTGTAAGTTGACCACCACTTTGATTTAATTGAATTAAGAATGTTTTCAATTATTTTGTTGTTTTAATCGCAAACAGTATTAATTAAACCAATTAATCCGAATCGTATTTAAAAATTTCACGAAATGATGATACAATTACCCATACTAGGGCTGCTGATGAGATACAGATAACTTTAGTTGCAATAATTGTATTCTGTCTCAAAATTTTTAAAATTGTTTTGAAAAGATTACTGCGGCGTTCACACATCATAAGATCAGTTAAGGAAGTACCCATGTACGAGGTGTTTGACGTTTGATTAGTTTTGGGTCAGTGTATCGGCGTTCTATTACTAGAGGGTGAGGAGCGTTTCAACGTTCCCTTACCTTAGGGTTAGTCAAAGGATTACCCATGTGGTATGTGGCTTGGCGTAAGTATTCTAAGGGGTTCGTTCATTTACCCATACTATACATACCCATATTTTAGGTGGCTCAACATTCAATTACTAAAGGGTCAATCAAGGGAGTACCCATGTCTTAGTTTGTTCAACGTTTGCTTACCATAAGGTGAGTTAAGTACACGAAATAGGTGGGTATCTAGTTCAGGCATGGCTAATAGTCACCTTTAGTACTGAAGGGTAATTACATATAAAGCTGCGACTATTTCTAACTGTTTGCCCTGATTTTGACTGCAAAATACTAAAGATGCTAAAGATATCTATCTGCCTTTCTCCATCCGTTAAACGGATGGGCCTTAAGGTTTTGCCGTTCCGACATTCCCCATTTTGTTCTCCATCCGTTGTGGATCTAAATGTAATGACCTTCCCTGGCGATAGTAATGGTATAGTTTTTAGGTGCATCTTCACAGTGAAAATTCAAGCATTCACTTCGAGTAAAAAATGCTCACGAACAAAGTGTGTAGAAAAGAGACTGCAATTACACTCGAGCGTAGAAAAACATTTGGGGACTAGAGCTCTTCTCCCTTTCTCATTCATTGATTGTATCTTCATATTATCTAAGTATCTAAGCGCGGACATAACGCACCAGATGGCAGAATCATTGCGGTCAATCCTGATGTTGAGGGGTGTGCTGGAACCGTCTGCTGCTGAGAAGGATAAATGTTTTTAATATCTACCCGAATGCTTTGCACCGACCGCGGTTTTTTAGGCTTACCGGACTCATTTTCTAGGTTAGGGTATTAATCTTGGTATCTAGCATTATTGATTTGCTCTGTTATGAGCAGCTTCTGGCTAATCTAGCTTTAAATAATATACCGGTGGTCTGTCACAATAAGTAACAAAAAGTCGAAGTGATTAACAAAAAGACTACTTCGATGACACCTTTTCGTGTCGCCTGAAGAGATTTTACTTGACAAAATACCTGACTTAATAGGCACCGAATATTTCATTTTTTTTATATATATGTCGGAGATAACCGTTATTTAATTTCACCGAAGTCGAGCCAGCGAATTCTGTTCGCCTGCGCAGTCAAATCGTATCTGTTCTCACGCCACTTTTCCTGTGGCCCTTTCACCTTTTCTTTCTTTTCACTCAGACGTCAATCCTAGACAATCTCAAGACGAACAGACCTCACTCAGTAACAGACAGTCTTCTGTCCTTGTCCTGTTACCGATTCAACTGTCATTGCGCCTGCGCGCCAGCGACACCTACAGGGCTACCAATACCTGAGCATGCCGAATAATTCTGTTGCCAAGGCAACAAGCATTCCAAATTTGCAATTAGCAACTAACTTTCCGACATATACTTAAATTTACAGTATTTGTTCTTCACAGTTTATACCAAAATAAAAAAGATATTATTTAACGACCACTTAATTAAACAATGAAGAAATGCTTTTTAGGAGGGAGGCATTTGAAAACCGGACATTCTCATAACTCATAAGGTATTAAGAAAATCAGTTAGTTTTAAATTATACTTCTTGTACCATTCATTGACTATTTAAACCTTCATGTCGAATTATTAAATAATATATATTGAAAAGTAATATATTATTAGTAGACAATTGATTTTAATATTAAAGATAAGACAAACAAATTTCAAAGAAGGCAGTTAAGCAAACCTAAAATATTTTGCAAGCTCAAAATTCAAACTGTCATTAAAGAAACAAATAACAGGTATTTTACGAAAGTTATTGCATTGTGATCCTAATTTAAATCAATTGTAATTTTTTAGAATCTGTCCGACTTTGAGGATCCTTACAAAAGCAGCAATACCTATATATTCTAAGTTTTTATTTGCTTGAATTTCCCATGAAATTGAGATTTGTGTTTAATGTTCTACTAGAAAAAAAGGTAAATTGGATATTTATTTATTAAATATAAGATCATTAACTATCGTTCATGCTATCTTCCTTTGCCAAAAATAATGTATTAAAATTGACTTAAATATGTAAAATACTATCGCTATATCTGAAATTTCATTTCCATTGTTTAACACTTTTAATTAGATATCAAAGTACTATAAAACGATGTTAATAATTTGCATGAGAAGAGCAGAGCATACCAAGATTACCGAGCATAAGTAACCAAATATTTAACTCCTTACTCTAATCGAAAAATATCTTCTTAAACTATCCATAACAGCCTTTGAACGCCGAAAATTTTGAAGATGAATTTATTTATGCTGATCTTGAGAGTCAACATTACGGACCGATAAACTACAAAGCAGCTTCACTATATGCCCAAGTCAAAAAAAATAAAAAAACAGGAGCGTTAAGTGAACTTAAATGAAATACTGGCAAATTGTTTGTAGCTTCTGCAGTGCATTTTTTATAAATTCTAAATATACGAAATTTGTTAAAATATGATTTTTAAAAATGTATAAGTGATTTTAGATTTAAATTAAATAATTCGCAGAAATAATTGTTTTTGCGAAAGCAACATTTTATTTGATTCAAAATAGATTCAGAATTTTAAGCTGTAAAAACCCATATGAGTGTTATGTGACTTATATGTATATATATATATATATACAGAGAACTGTAATTTAACTAATATTAAATAACTTAGGTTAGAAGTAGACTAAGTATATAACTCAAAAATAAAGGAAACCTGTGCCGTTTAGCAGTTTTCTTAGAAATTGGCGGGTACTCTGCATGCAATGTGTGATATTACTAATCGTCTTGTCTGATGTCGCAGATCCCTTTCCTTCAGTTCCAAAATTCCTTTCCCGTCCGATTCCTGGCGGCATGTTCGAAGAACAAAAACAAATGACATGAAACTTCAGCGAAACAAAATAGCCGAAACAAATTCTACCTACGTTCGGCTACTCCCGAGGGCTTCACGAAGTTCGATCTTTATATTTGTTCTTGTTTTCGATCTGTGTTCGGAGCAGCGGTTGCGAGAGTTCGTTTGGTGTCAAAAACAAAGACTATTTCACCGACGCACAGTAGCGCCTCTCGAACAAAAGCCGTCGCACATTTTTATACCCTTGCAGGGTATTATAATTTCAGTCAGAAGTTTGCAACGCAGTAAAGGAGATGTTTCCGACCCTATAAAGTATATATATTCTTGATCAGCATCAACAGCCGAGTCGATCTAGCCATGTCCGTCTGTCCGTTTCTACGCAAACTAGTCCCTATGTTTCAAAGCTATCTGAATGAAACTTTGCATATAGTCTTCTATATACTCTCACTGCTATATATGTCGGAACGGGCCGGGTCGGACGACTATATCATATAGCTGCCATACAAATGTTCAATAAATTTTTAGAAAAAAAAAAAATATATAACATGGCTGTTTTTCAATATTATTCCATTTTAATCTACTTTGAGACATGAGCTTCTGGTATTATTTCAGAATATTTGTATAAATTTTATGAAAATCGGACGACTATATCTTATAGCTGCCATAAAAGCAATCCGTTGATGTAGAGAAAATGTAAAAATGGGAATGTATAACTGTAACTGTTGTAAGGAAGCGTCTGGGCGGCCGGGGTAAACCTCAGCGGCCCAGACTCCCCTCACAAAATTTATAATTGTGAGACGCCCAGAACATAAAGCGCCAAATAATTAATTAGGGTAAGGTGAAAAATATATACTTGAATTAATGTTGGCCACGCGGAATCTGTCCAGCCGCGGCGGTTCTGCCTCGAGAGTGGGCGACTCGGAAGGATCCAGCGGTCAAGCCCGCGGCCGCGCTCGGAATTATCCAGCGGCGGGACGAGTGGCTCGGTATAATCCAGCGGCCACGCCCTCGCCCACGCTCGGAATGATCCAGCAGCGGGGCGCCTTCGGGGCAGGACAAAGGCTCGGAGGAGTCCAGCAGCCAAGGCCTGTGTCCACGCTCGGAAGAATCCAGCAGCGGGACCACTGGCTCGGAAAAATCCAGCAGCCAGCCCCGAATCCTCGCCCGGAAGAATCCAGCGGCAGGATTGTTCAGAGGGCTCGGAATAATCCAGCAGCCACACCTACGCCCACGCTCGGAAAAATCCAGCGGCGCGGCGTCCGTTGGGGCGGGACAACGGCTCGGAAGAATCCAGCAGCCGATGCCTGCGTCCACGCTCGGAAGAATCCAGCAGCGGGACAGTTGGCTCGGAAGAATCCAGCGACCAACCCCAGATCCGCGCCCGGAAAAATCGAGCGGCGGGATGGCTCTCTGCCGGGCAAGAAGAAGGGGACCGGCGGCCTCGCGCAGCAAGTCCGGGTTCGGAAGAATCCAGCAGCCACGGGCTCCTGGTCCCGTCCGGCTTTCGCCCGCACCCGGAATTGCTCCGGTGCTACGGGGAAAGCAGGAGGGGAATGGTTACTGCCGACGAGGATCACCGGCCCGCGAACGAAGACGGGGGGATAAAAGCACAGTCACAATTTGGTGGCGCATTTCTAATTATATTTTATTCTCAATTAAAGTTACTGCGGCACGGGGGCGGGGTGGATCCCGACTATGGTTAATGGCCGGCGGTCATGCTCACCTACGACTGGACGCGGATGTCCTCGAAGGACCTGCAGGATGTTTTCTCGACGCGGACACGCAGTATTTACACGTGCACTTTTAGGACCTTTGCGAAGCGACGCGACTTGTAAGCTCAAGAATTTTCCGGGAATTAAAAACTGACCTAATTCTGTAGTGTGGCCGTGACCCACTTCTGCCGGCAGCGCTGCCGCGATCGATCGCAGCGTTGCCAGACGCTGCCACTATCGCCGATGAGCGCGCGTAATTCAAATAATTCCCTTCATGGGATATCCTAATTGTACAATTAATTCTAAACTTAATGTTATTTTGTGACGACAATTTAGCGTAGTCACACTGTCATAAACATAATAAGTATAGGTAAAATGTTATGAAACTCTGTTTAGTGTCTGTTTTCGGCATTATAATTTATAATATAAATATGAAAACCAATCTGCAAGGGTATACAAACTTCGGCGTCCGAAGTTAGCTTCCTTTCTTGTTTTAAATCATACTTATTCGACAGAAAAATTCCCAAATATTCAGAATTTGCAATAAAATAAAATTTAAGATTTTTTTAGAATATATGAGCATTCAAAGTTGAACTTTCTTTCGTTTTTTGCATCACAAAAAAAGGGTAAATTTGTCGACTTTCAGGTTAAATTACACAAAAACCTTAAAACCAAAAAAATTACAATTTTTTTCAGTTTTCTAAAAAAAAAAAAGTAATTGTACTTTTTTTTTTTTAGGTTTCAAATTATTTTTATTTGAGCAAATAGAAGTTTGTATACCCTTAGAATGGTTTTGATGTTTATATTTTAGATTTAAATGCTGAAAACACTCACAAAACAGAGTTTCATTACATTTTACCTATACTTATTATGTTTAGGGCAGCGATGGGCACGCAGTGGCTCAATTTGCTCACGCTGCTCAAACCGTTATCTTTTTTCGGAGGCGCCAGCATGTCGCACAATTGCAGACGCACAAGTGTAACGAGCGGCTACACTTAACTATATATTCGGCTGGATGGATCCTCGAGATTCGAGCGCACGCGGAAATAGTGTCCGGCTGCGGCTCGTCGGCTATAGGAGTGGTGGTCTTGCTCGACTCTCGGATTGCCTTTAATAATAACTACGATACTCGCGTGCTAAAACAAGCCAATTAAAACCGGATAGAGATAACACACAAACAGTCGAAATAATGCCCCAGAATATATTGATCCCCTTCTGCTGTCTACCGCCTCTTACCTCCTTTGCTGACCTGGAGGATCTGGCTCGCCCTCCCTACCTACAGTCGCTCCTGCCTCAGAGCATAATAGCCTGAGCGACCCCTTTGTCGTGCTACCCTACATCACAAGCATACGCTAGCCGCGGTCACTTTCAAATTCCTTTAAAACATTATAATTTTTATTCTAACAAATTAAAAATAATATTTCTTAACATGCTGGTACATAAATAAATAAATTTCGAACATAAACTAAATTTTAAAAATACATAAAAGGTAAAACAATTTAAAACATAATCATACACAATTAAAATGGATTTATA